CTCTACGACATTGATGTCGTGCTTGCCCTCAAGGTGTTTTCGAAAATTGGTGGTAACCGAAGTGCTGTAGGGATCCTCCTGGGGACAATGAAGACAATACATGAGGCGGTTCCTGCCTTTGAACTCCGCTTCCCTTTCACTGCCAGATGAGCATGTTTTCATGATCCAAAAGCAGGTTTTTCTCTTGTCTTGCGAGATGTAGACGTGGAAGAATCTGAAATAATGGATTCAGAATCGAAGAAGGATAACACAGACTCAGAATCCATCGTCGCGAGGTGATAATATGGTGTGGGTTGGTGGGGAAGATGATTTCGTGGATGTGGGATTTTTGCGGGTTCAAGCCCCTGGAATAAGGTACAGCAAACATGGGCTTACAACGATTACGGTGAACAAGGACTCTTGTAAATAACCCCTTGTGGGAACCCTGTTAGTGGCGTGGTTTAGCCAATAATATGGAAATACATGGATCCATATCCATACCTTTTCCATGCCATTCATGGAAAGGGTATTTCCATATTTAGATATGGAAAACCACCCTGGGCTCACTGTCGCACAGCAAGATGATGCACAGTATGAATAGCTGAGCAACGATCGGGGAGAAGATCCCCAGTGAATCGGGCAACGAAAGACCCTTAATTTTCTATCTAAGTGATTGTGAAAATTTGGCTTCTTATACTTGTGAGCTTGGGCTGAGTAGCGATGTCGCCACCCAGGCAGCATAGATGACGTTGTCACCTAGAAGGTTCGAATCTATCACTAATATAGTATTACGAACTGCCTGCTGCCTGCTAGGCAGCACAGTGAATGAGCGTGCTGATCTTGACACAATTTGAGGAAGCAAAGATGAGGCGATTCAGGCGAGCTTCGTGGAAGCTCTGAGTCGCGTCATCCAGCCTCGCTGCCCATATGACGTCACTTGACGTCCAGCATCGCACGAGTTTGCTGTCATCGGCTTCTTCAATCCCCATACGCTCCGAGTTCGCATTTCATCCATCTTTGCCGTCCGACAAGAAGGTTGCCCATGGAATACTCAAGGAGAATAGCGCTGTTACTGGAGGCAGTGGGTCGATTTCGAGGATAGCAAGCAACGCTTTGCCCACATATTCTTCTGCCACGGTGTTGCCGTCTCTGGGCGACTCTGCAACAGCCAGGGAGTTGCATTTGCCACCTACAGTCCCTGACAGCTCGGCTGGTCTAATTGGCTCGAGCACTTCTAAGCCCGAAACAAGCCTTGATTCAACTGTTGTGGCTCAGCAGCCCGGACGGGCGGCCGGTGATAAGGAACCCATTCCCAATGGACGGTTCACCACTGCCACAGTACCAGCTAGCAGTAGTCCAGAGAACGATGTATTTGCTACCAATGAAACAGGAGACCAATCTCCGAAGCAAAAAGCCACCAGCGCTGGCATCGCCATGGGCGCAGTTGGTCTTGGCTTGTTGTGCGGTACAATGACATTCGTTGTCGCCAAACGATACAAACACCGCCAACAGTCATATCGACGTTTCGGTTCTGCAACGACCAGTCAAAGTTCTTTGGAGATACGGTGTGCGGGGCTTGTGACCAGTCCTCCTGTGAATCCGTCTATGCTCCCAGGTCCGTTCTCAAATAATATCAACAGTAGTCCGCCCAAGCAATCTAGCAGTGGCCAGTGGAAGACAAATCGAAACCGAGCCCCAGATATTTCCAGCCCAGTTTTGGTGGAAAACACGCTCAGCTGGAGGTGACAACTCAAATGCACTGCCACTCAGCAACCAGCGGCTCGGTATTAGGTAGTTTGCTGGGCTGGCGCAGATGATAAAGATCATCTCTATTTAGCGGGAACAAAGGCCCTTCATATGGCTCAAGCTCAATGCTGCCCAAAATACTCATTTTAGAAATACTTTATCTGCGCCAAGCAGGACTGGGCTTGCCGCCCGGCCCTCCGGGTCGAAGGCTGTTCAGGGACCGAAGAGAACCCCGTGTTTCGTGCTTCCAAACTGACGGGACGGTAACATCTTTACTGCCTTTCTAGCCAGTTGAAGATCAGTCTCTGGCCTGAGCAGTCATGTAACGTGGCACTTGTGACACGGAAGCTATAGCGCGACGGGGGCCAGAGAGAGTATGATCCCAGAACGTCACCATTAAAAACACCCTTGCCAGATCGTCCAACTCCGTGATGTTCCGTACGAGTTTCCGACCGCAACTGAGCACCATAAGCTACTGTTCGGCATCATGCCCAGAGTGAAGTTGTATTGTTGATTGCCGGTACTGCCCTCGGTGCATTTCCTGTATTGGCTGAGGGAGCCAGCATAGCAATAGCCTCACTGTGGGCTAGTTTCTGCTTAATACCGGTAAGTCACCGTTGACACGCATGCTAAGCCCCACCATGCCGTCTAAACGCAGTGGTGTTAGCTATAGGCCATGACACGCCAGGTAGCAGTTTCTTTTGCTTGCGGCAAACTGCTCCAAAACCCCCTTTTGAATAGGAATCAAGCCTCCCAACCTTTTCTGCAATCTAAAATAACATTTGCTACTGTACAGTGCAAGGCCTGGGTGCAACTCGTGTCGCGGAATAGGCTAAAATGTCTTTTCTGATGATGCCGCTTATGGCCAGAATGGTCGCAAGACGACGTATGAAATGCTGACTCCGCACTCATCTTCAGGGTAATTACTGCAGGGCAGTAGATGGCTGCCCTGAAGGGCACGTACCCTGTGAAGCAAGCTTACTCTTCTGCATCTTGTAGGCAAAGCCTGTAGTACCCCTTTCTGGCCATTGATGATGCCTCGGACAGGTGTCAACATGTCCGCAGCCGCAAAACGGGATGGGATATGAGAGTCCGAAAAGGGCCAGTCGGCTCCGGACGGCCTAAAATAGATGGCGCTGTAGTATTTGAAGCAAAGCCTGGACCTTCAAGGGTTACGGGTTCGGTACAGAAAGGGCATGTCCAAGAAACACTAGCGACACATCGAGCAATGGATGACCTGGCTTGTCTACAGAACTTAACAAGGAGAATATGATGCTGCATGGGCACCAGAAGAATCCAATTTTGCCATCAGCAGCCTTATTCATTGGTATCCCAGAGGCCACGGCCCCACCGGGGCAAAATGGTACTACATGCAACTGCCTCGCTCATGTCGTTTGAAGGTGTAGAAGCAACTGACAAAATCACCATGGCAACTTCCATCCTCTAACCCCCGGGTGATTTCACCCTTTGCGGCCAACGAACGGAGGGTAGCTAGGTGGGTGGTGCGGCGTCCGGACAGGAGTGTCCCATCTAAGTCGGCAGGTAGTCAGCTCTTGGCTACAAACACAACTGGACTCTAAGCATTGGTAGCTGGTCTCCAGATAGCGATACAGTATTGTATTAAATATAAAGCCAGGGTGCATTTATTGCAAGAACAGGACATCAAGTTGTGAGCACTTTCCCTCTATGTTTTTTTTTTCGCATACCTCGTCCGAAAATTCTCATTTAACCCAAGGTAACAACAGTACAGGTGTTCCAACTCGGGCACTACCAAACAACGCAGTGCGGAGGAGTAAGCACGAGTGGCCCGAAGTGGCCGCTGGCCGCTCCTTTTATCCACCGCATATCGTATAAACTCGTCGTGCTAGCGACAGGACCGAAGACAACCTGGGTGATTGCTGAGCGCCGGACCGACCACCCCTTTTAACATGCCTTCCAAAAACTCTTTCCTGTTTTCCCCTACGCTCGCAAGTGCAACTTCGCGAATACGAGGGTAAAATAGACATAGAGAGTAGCATTTGAACCGTCTCGCCTACCTCTTTCTGCCTACCAAAGTGCATAGAGACGCACGCCTTCCAGGCGGCGTTATCTACGTGCAAAGATGGCAGAAAAGGGAGGGGATCCCCCTTTGCAAAACCACCAAAATTTTCCACCCCAGCCTAGTCAGCCCCATACGCTTACCCGAGCCACTTATGCTATACACGATAGCGATAGCGACCCTGAGCTGCCGGACTACGATATAGAGCCCGAGGTTCTACCGTCGCCCTGACCCTAACCCTCACTAAGGCCCCAGCCCTAGCTACAGCCTCTACTCAAGCCCCTACGACCCCCTCTAGCTCCCTAGAGAGAAATAAGACCCTAGCAGGCCTATCTAGGCCTCCAACAGCACAAAGGTTTACATTTAAAACACCGCCCCAGCCAGTCACCCCTCTTTGCACCCCTATTCTTATAGGGGATAAGAGGAGACGCCCAGACTCCCTAGGAGGCCTAAAAGACACAGAACAGACCCTCTGACTGTTAAATGCCGCCCCAGTCTCACTAAAAGAGGCGCAGAAAATAAGGCCTTTATTCTCAAAGCTTATAGAAGGAATTACACACGCTTCAGCTAACTTGGTCAGCGAGGGACCCTTCCCTAGGCTGCTGCCTCTCCCCTCCTCCCAGGGGCTAAAACTAGTCTGTGGAACCAGTCGAATGTCAGGGCCCTACCTGGGACCCCTGGGTTACCGTGACACACCTGGGGACTACTACGGAAACCGCGGACGGGCAGCTCCGGGCACGGGCAGCTCCGGGCACGGGCAGCTCCGACGGTAGGTACGGGCAGCCCCGTCATCCAGGTCCGAAGCGACAGGGAGGATATGAGGAGGTCACGGCGTTAGGAGTTATGTGGTTTTCTTTCCTCTTCATCTTAGTATTCTTTCGTTACAGAGTATCTTGCTAGCTTTGTCTGCAGTCCCCTTCGCTCGCCGTGACATAATACTAAGATCGCCCTTACCGACCCCAATACCCATTTGCGTTAATTGCTCTGCCAATTGCGCTAAGTGGTTATTGCCGCCGGTCACGCCGCACACCCGGCACCTTACCCTACGTGGAAGATTCCAAAGATATCAGTTAGAAACTGATCTTCCGTCCGCTAGTACGCGTACGATGGCTCCTACGACGAGCGAGACTCCGGCCAGCCTAGACGGGCCTGCCGACGACCACGACTGCATCGAAGTACAGATGGCTAGTCAGAAGAACGAGAGACAACCTGATCCCTACTTGAGGGACGAACGACAATGCAGAGACCGTTAGAAGAGACGGCTAGAGTGGGCCGCGACTTCCAGGTCCCCCAGAAACTGACAACAGACTTGCACGAGCTCCTCCTTACGGATTCCGACCAGGACCTCGTCCAGCAGTTCGCACACACCGTCCTTGCCGCGCAGGAGAACCCTACCCCCTTTACAGCAAAGACAGGCCGCACGAGCGGGACCCTAGACGCGGCCTGGGTGAAAAGCGTCATCGCGAATGCGAAACATGAGGGCCTTGCTAGGGAACTGCAACACTTAGTCAACGAACGTAACGCGGCGTTACAGTTACTTCGTTGGACGGTCGAACGGTCCAGCACCCGAGAGAAGGTTGCCCGTCAGATCCTCGAACGAGCCCTCGCGAACCAGAAGGAGCTAGGCCGTCAGGCCAGAGCTCGCCAGCAAGATCTTATGGATTACACGGACCAGATCCGTGCGATCGAGGCGAGCTATGCAGGCATCAAAGACTCTGGGGCGCTCCGACAGGATACCCCGGGCCCTCAGGAGCACCACACACCCCACGACCTCACGCCATCTCCCCGTCTGAAGAACGAACCCTCGCAGGCGCCATCGTCGACTACGTCCACAGCCCGGACCCGGCACAATACAATCAAGATCAAGGACCCGGAGCCCTTGGACAATGGATCGAATCCGCGTTACGCTGACTGGAAGGCAGCAGTGGAGCGGAAGATGGAATTAAACGCCTACTTCTTTCCCGACGAATTCGCTAGGATTACGTGGATCGCGACCCTTATCAAGGGACAAGCGCACGAGGTCCTAGCGCCCTACCTCGCGAAACAGGACGACCTCGAGATCAGATCCGTGGGTCAGATCTTCGAGCTCCTTGGGTCAGTTTACGATAACAAGAGCCACAAGTGGGAGGCGAGGCAGCGGCTGGATAGCCTGAAAATGAAACAAGGGGAGTCCTTTATCGACTTCGCAGCGAAGTTCGTAACCCTTGCGACAAAAGCAGGACTCCATGACCGAGACCGGATCACAGAGCTTCACAAGAAGCTCACCGGTCGGATCCGCCTAAACAGCCAAGATATCTACGAGCGGTACGAGGAGCTTACGTTTGCTCAATATCGTGACCGGATGACTGCCCGGTATCTTGTTCAGGTTGACGCGTTAGAGGGACTGAAGGAGGACCGAGAGGAGGTTGCGAAGACTAGGATACCGACCCCAGACCGAGGAATAATCCGCCTCCTCGGTCAAAGGCAGTCCGATTCGCTCCCCAAACCGAGTTACGGGCCCAGCGACCCTCGACTCCGCCGACTACCACGTTGCCGTCTGATGGTACCTTTAAGGGGAACTGTTTCGTTTGCAAAAGACCGGGCCATCAGGCTGCCGTCTGTCCGACAAAGGGATCCCCACGAGTGGCCGCACTTGTGGCGGCAGTGGGGACGGTAAACGACCAACTGAGAGCGTTATTGGAAGGATCGGACAGCGAAGGTAGCGAGTCGCAGGACGATCAAGATGAGGAGTCCGAGGTAGCGGGAAATGCCATAGCCTGAGCAAAGGCTCCCGCACAGGCTATATCCTAAGTATTCGCAAGCTTACTGAGAACTTGAACTTATCGACAATTGATCACTTAATTGGCGGTCCTAGTTTTGTGATTAATAGCACGATTCGCAAACATGGCCTCGCTATCTCAGTACGCATCCTTGTGGATACCGGAGCACAAACGTGGCTATTAGGCAACTCACGCCTAACAAAGCCAGCAGCTAAACGACTCGACCTCCCTAGACGCAGCTATACAGCGCCGCGTTATATTAAGGGAATTGATGGTCGTGCTCAGTGTATCACTTCTTCTATCCAAGCAGACTTCCAGCTCCAGGGGCGGACTTTCCGCGATCAACCGATCCTTGAGGCCGACCTAGGGACGAGGAACGATTTCCACCTGATCGTAGGACTTATGTTCTTGAGCCATTTCGATATCCGTCTCGACTGCCGCCGTCGTCGCCTTATCTTCCCTCCTGAGCTGGAAGCCCAGAGGACTGGATCCCGATATTGCACTTAAGGCTTCTCGTCTTATGTACCCGAAGCCAGTTTCCTACGAGTTCAGGCCGACGTAGAGCGGCGAGACCACCTTTGGGAAGAAGCAGAAAGACAGGACCAGGAAGAAGACGGCGCGGCCCATATCATCCAGATCTCTCCGCGATACAGGAACCAACAGGGGCCACGAGCACCATCGGCCCACGGCAACATCGTCCACGGTACTCTACTCATCGAGGGGATGACCTGGGAAGATGAACCGAGCACTGGCGGGCATCGAGTGGAGAGACCCTGCCAGAAGGATATCAGGCCACGGTACCAACGGAGGGCGCAGGATCTCGATATACTGATGATTTCGGCACCAGCATTCCACGCAGGTATCCGTCGCAGGAAGGACCATCGGCATGCCTACGAAGATGTGACTTTCCTCAACCTTCACATGATCGATAAGGCGCTCGGGGAAAGGGGCGAGCAGGATAACCAACAGGACGAGGACGACCGTTTCCTCGCAGAAAAGCTACCTCCAGAGCTCGCAGACCTAGCCGACGTGTTCTCCCGCGAGGACAGCAATAGGATGCCTCCGTCCCGCCCAGGGTAGACCATAAGATCGAACTAACAGGGCCTGCTGCGTTACGAACGCACCCATTGTACAGCCTTAACCGCGAACAGCTGGAGACTATGAAGGAGTATTTACAGGATAGTCTCCAGAAGGGCTTCATTGAGCCAAGCAGCGCACAGTTCGGATCCCTGTCTGTTTTGCAAAAAGAAGGATGGCAAGCTGCGTTTTTGCGTAGATTTCCGAACTCAATCAGCTAACTAAGAAGGATCGGTACCTATCCTCTTATTAGCGAGACCCTAGACCGCATTGCGAAGGCGAAGATATTTACGAAGCTAGATATTAGGCAGGCGTTCCACCGGATCCGGCTCGAACCGGATTCAGTCGAACTAACCGCCTTCCGCACGCGTTACGGCCAGTTCCACTACAAGGTCCTTCCTTCGGGTTATGCAACGGGCCTAGTACGTTCCAACGGTTTATTAACACGACCCTTTGGGACTACCTCGACTCTTTCTGTACGGCCTACCTCGATGATATCCTCGTGTTCTCCGAAGATAAGAAGGAACATATGCGACACGTACGGCTCGTTCTAGAGCGACTTCGGGAAGCGGGTCTTCAAGTAGACATCAAGAAATGCGAATTCGGTGTCACAAAGACGGATTTCCTTGGGTTTATTATTAGTACGGATGGTATCTCCGTCGACCCTAGGAAAGTCTCGGCTATCCTGACCTGGCAGACCCCACGATGCAAAAAAGAGCTGCAGTCCTTCCTCGGATTCTGCAACTTCTACCGTCGGTTTATCCGTAACTACGGTAGAATCTGCCGACCCCTAAACCGCTTGACAGGGAGAGTAGGTGGGATTTCGACGACCGGTGCCTTGAGGCCTTCGAGACCCTAAAGACAGCTCTAACTACCGCGCCAGTCCTCGTCCACTTCATAGAGGACCGCGAGACGAAGCTAGAGACTGACGCGTCGGATGGGGTTATCGCGGGCGTGCTCTCACAACTAGCGGACGATGGACAATGGCACCCGGTCTCGTTCCTTACGAAAACGATGAACGCAGCGGAGTGTAACTATGAGATACACGATAAGGAGCTCCTGGCTATTATCGTGTGCCTGAAGGAATGGATGCCCTTGTATCCCTAGTCGCTCCCGGAGTCATCAAGATCTTCACCGACCACCAAGCCCTCCAGTACTTCGCTACAAAGAGGATGCTAAACGCACGGCAAGCTCGATGGATCGAGACCCTTGCTATGGTTGGATTCGAAATCCACTATCGCCCGGGCAAGCAAAACGTCGTCGCCGACGCTCTTTCCCGCAAGGCCCAGGACGTGCAGTTACAGAAGGCGCTCAAGGAGTTGAACCGCTCGCAGATCCTAATCCCAGCAACTCAGTTTGCAGGGGCACGACGGGAGGGCTGCTATAGCCGCAGGCGCCGCAGGCGGAGACGACCCTACTATTGCCATATATACCCCGGTTCCGCAAGACAAGCCGAGACCCCAAACTCTAGAGATGGGTGCCTACTGGAAGGATTCGAGCTTATCGAAGCGATCCTCCAGGCAAACCGGGCTTCACCTCGCTACGCTCCGAAAGGAGCAAGCAGAGATACCAGACTCCCGGTTCCAAGTCCAGAGTGGCCTCCTCTGTTACGATGGACGACTAGTCGTCCCCGACGAGGCGAACCTACGGACTGCCCTTTGTCACGAGGCGCACCGTCCGCGAAGTCAGGCACATCCCGGCCGGAATAAGATGAGGAAGATCTTAACGAGACGGTACTACTGGCTCGGGATAGGAGGTTTTATTGACCGTTACTGCGCGAACTGCGCGGACTGCAAGCGGTCCCAAGACTCCCGCCTCCGACCAGCAGGACTACTCCAGCCACTGCCAATTCCGGAGCGCCCCTGGCAGCACATCTCTATGGACTTTAAGACAATGCCACGAGACAAGAAGGGGTATACGGCGGTCTTCGTTACGGTCTGTCGGTTGAGCAAGAGGACGTTCTCCTACCGACATATACGACCTGTACCGCGCAGGATATGGCCTGGCTTTTCTACGAGCATATCTGGAGGACCTACGGCGCACCGGAGACCATTACGTCAGATCGCGGGCCGCAGTTTATTTCGAGCTTTTGGAACGAACTTTGTCGCCTCGTGGGGACGAAGATGAAGCTATCTACGGCCGAACATCCTCAGACGGACGGTCAGACCGAGATAATAAACCAGTTCCTACAGACAAAGCTCCGTCCCTATCTAGACTACTACCAGGATAACTGGTCCGAAATGCTCCCTGCTTGGATTTCGCACACTCAACCCACCCACACGAGAGCATCGGTCTAGCACCTGCGGAGCTTGAGATGGGATACTTACCCCGAATGTCGTTCGACTGGTCCGTGGCGCCACCCACAGCGACGGCCCCCCCCAGAGAGCAGCTAGGGCGAACAGCGGCGCAGCAGTTCGCCTCCCGGGCCGCCGAGGGGGTCCGGTGGGCGAGGGAAACCCTACTCACCAAGCAGGCGGAATACAAGCGGCAGGCGGATAAACGCCGTAGGAGGTCGACTGGGAGGTAGGCGACCTGGTATACCTGAAAAAGGGACACTGGTCAACGGGACGCCCGAGTGACGGCTTGGATCAACCCTACCTAGGCCCGTTTCGGGTCTTATCGGCTAAGGGGCCAAACGCTTTCGAATTGGACCTACCACCAACGATGAAAATCCACCGGGTTATTAACGCTAGCCGACTACTTAAAGCGCCCTCGGATCCGGTACCAGGACAGACCTACGAACCGCCCCCGCCGGTAGTCATACAGGGGGAATCCGAGTGGGAGATCGACCAAGTCCTTGCATCCAGGATTGCCAGGGGAAAGCTGCAATACCAGGTTAGTTGGAAGGGTTGGGACCCGGACCCAGATTGGTATCTAGCGAGTAACTTCAAAACGCTCCGCTAGCCCTACAACACTTCCACAACGCCCACCCCGATAAGCCTGGCCCTCCGGGCCGCTTAGCTGCATGGATCCAAGCAGCGGCGACGGACCAAATCGCCCTAGACACACCAGATGACGACCTCCCGACTCAACGGCAAGACAACACAAAAATGAGGCGACGGCGGGTAACGAAGTAGGTATGTCTCTGGGTATTGGCATTACGGCATTGGTCAGAGCTCGGGGCGAGCTCTCCGGAAGGAGGAGTAGTGTCAGGGCCCTACCTGGGACCCCTGGGTTACCGTGACACACCTGGGGACTACTACGGAAACCGCGGACGGGCAGCTCCGGCACGGGCAGCTCCGGCACGGGCAGCTCCGACGGTAGGTACGGGCAGCCCCGTCATCCAGGTCCGAAGCGACAGGGAGGATATGAGGAGGTCACGGCGTTAGGAGTTATGTGGTTTTCTTTCCTCTTCATCTTAGTATTCTTTCGTTACAGAGTATCTTGCTAGCTTTGTCTGCAGTCCCCTTTCGCTCGCCGTGACATCGAACCAAGAAACGTCCCAGTCTAGGACCGCTACACCTAGGACTAAGCCCCCCAGCCTAAAGCTACCCAGCCTAAGGCTAAATCCTTCGCCCAGGCCCTCCAGACCCCAGCCCTAGCCAAAACACCAGCTAAAGCTAAGGTTAAGACTAAGACTACAAACCCTAAGGAGGGGTACCAGCTTATTCTTAAGTTAAGAAAGCTGGACCCACAGCCCGCTTTTAACCCCCTTCTGCTTCGAGACCAGGCCAACACTGCTATAGGCGCTATAGCTATCCTCAGCCTTCCAGGCCTACTGCTATAACTGCAAGGGCAACCACCTTACAACTAATAAGTCCCTATGTGAAGTCTTTAAGGCTATATCGAATGCCTAGACACCCTAAAGGACCTAGGCCTTTAAGGCCTTCTCAAAAAGCTAATAGCCAGGCCTCCATGTGAGAGCGCTACTAGGAGGTGCGAGCTGACAAAGCACTTGGGTACCCCGCTCGCGAGTCATAGGTAACTCGCCACGCCCACCGAAGAGAGAAAAATCCCTCTTCTTGCAAGCTTCAGTCTTGCGACGAGAGAACACAATACACACAGCGCAGTACCTCCAGCTATCTCTACTACCTGACTGATCGTACCGTGATACGTGTTCCCTTACTAATAGGCAGGAATCATCGCGCCTCACTATCTTAGAGCAAGGCTCTATAAGGGATTTTCCGATGATCTGCCGGATCTGGTGATCTGCCGGATTGCGGCGACTTCGCACGCTCAACATCAATCGACAATAGCTCAACAACAACGGTGCCAATTGACGTATCCTTTGATTTCCTGAATCATCAGAAGCAGTGAAAGTCTGGCATATATTTAGAACTTTTATCTAGGGGCAATGCGCTGCGGTGCTGACATCAAACCAAGCAACGGCCAAAATAGGATGCCGACAGATTGTGTAAGTCATTTCAGCCAATACAGCAAAACAGAACATTATTGGCTTTCATCGTAGGCTTTAATCATGTGGGATTCTCCCATTCTATCCATAGTGCAGAACTTGGCTCAGGATACTGCAAAAATGGGGTTGGAAGGGCGAGCTGGATAACTTCATTCTACGCACCCGTAATGAGCCAGATTGAACGTGATTCGACGGTACAAGCATCTTCTGAAAAGAACCTATCTATGCATCTGAATGTAAGGTTTATTTTTAGCTTGAAATTCAGTGCGCGAGGCTCCGCTTTCACACCTGACAAGGAAAGACGTGCACGAAAATTGAGAAATTCGACACCCTACCCTAAAACACGTATAACATGGATGAAATGGGCTTTCTATTCCTTATGAGCATTTGAACGAACAGGGTATTCCTCTTATTATAAGAAAACAAGGCAAAATTGCTCGGCGTATTAAAAAATGGCAACCCATCCTCCCTTACGTTCAAGATGTGCGTCAGTCAAGAGATGGCATCGCTGCCCCCATTTCTCATCCACCAAGACAAGCCAGCACAAACTCTGGACTTTTGGTTCGTGAAACGTGAATCAAGTCGTCAATAAATATTTTTAACACGTCAAAAACGAGGTGGACGAATCACAATATTGAAATGAGCAGCTCACCGGTACGTTCGACCGGTTTACCAGGGTGAAAGCTCGAAACGGTTGTGCTTATCGCCTTTGGTTCCCGATGGCCACTTAACCATTTTAGTATCGAATTTATGGAGTGGTGTGACCGGCACCGAGTGATCGTTGTGGTGTTTCCTCAATCCATTCATCGGCTGCAACCCTTGATGTATCGTTATTCAGCCTCTCTCAACAGCGTATACGCATGATCTTATCCAGTACACAGACAAATCAAAAGGTTCATTGGATTGCTGAAATCGAAGATCTAGACTGTGTTTTGGAACGCATTTCAGGAAGTAGTCGAGAAGTCCTCTGTTGATGCTGGCCGCAACAGCCGAAGGCTGAGCAGCACCTCGGGAGCCCTCAATATGAGTTTTAAGTGCTTGATATGAGAGTTAAAGTATGCAGAGAACAAGTAGTCACAAGAACCAGCGCAGGCAGACCGGTAAGGCTTCAAAAGATGATCTCTTCTGCTGTACAGATTCTAGTGCAGACGAGGTGTTTAGCTCTAAAATTGTGGCTCAAGCTCGCCAAAAAATGACAGTGAAAGGACTCAAAAGAAAGAGGAGGCTCTGAAGAAGGAGGCCCGAAAGCTTCAGCGACAGCAGAAGGCAGCGGAGCAAAAGCTCTCGCTCTAGAGAAGAGGAAGCAATGAGAGGCGGAAATTGGGAGAAAACGACGGATGACGGAGGCCGTGAAGCAAAATAAGGAGATAAATTGGCATTATTAACAAGAGCTGAAGATTTTGAAAGTGGAAAAGCCACAGAAAATGCAGAATGAGCGACGGGTGGCTTCTGAGGGTCGCGAGAGGAGTCAGGATGTTCACGCTGCAAAATTGTCACTCTTCCGTTCACACCAGAGCGGGCCATAGCATTGCAGGTACCAAACACACTATATAATAACGCAAATAATAAGGCAATGATAACTTCAAACGACATATCCTGTCCTCAAAGGCCCTCTTTAGCTGTTGATAGTGATCGGGAGGCAATGGGTGCATTTCGGGGACTTGCGCGATCGGAGAGTAACAGAAGACGACCTCGATGGCTGGATGACTTCAAAAAGATTGAGTGGCATCTTTGAGCATTATTAACTGCTCTTATAAGATTTTAGAACAATTCAAATAGTATTCGTGAAGTTATTCTCAGTTCTTTGCTGGAATGCAATGAGCCCAAAATCCGGCGAATCGCCAGATCCGGCAGATCACCGGAAAATCCCTTACTAAGTACAGACATAGTGCTTATACAAGAGCCTTACTGCTATAAGATAGGAGGGAGCTATATTCCCATCCAGCACCCTTCATATGACCTAATAACCCCTATACCCTCATCTAACTTTCCTAAGCTAGAAAGGAGGCCTAGGGTCTTAGGATATATACGAAAAGCTGCTACGTGTTACGGCCAGGCACATACGAGCCTTGACGGCTATAAAGATGTATTGGCACTATGAACGAAGACTCAAAGCTAAGGAGCAAGAAAGAAAGACTAGACTACACGACCGAGCTGGCCCTTATGTGCATATGCACGAGGTTACCTCAGCAGTGCTCAGGTAAGCACGAGGTCGCACGTGGGCACGTGATGCTGCTTGGGCACGTGACGCTGGTGAGGTTCTGCGCTGGTGTCTCTACGCTGGCGCGCAGGGTCGTGACACTACGCTAGAAACAACGCCCCGGTACGACCTCTTTTCAGACCCAGATGTCCAAGCTATAGGGGCACAGGGCTTAGAACCATTTCTGATTATTAACCTCTATAATGAGAAAGAGGTACTAGAAGATCCTCTAGGCTCCACGAGCCTAGAAGGGTCTTTAAATCAGAGACCCAGCCAGAGGAGAGGAGAAAGAACAGTGGAAAGGTTACTAGCTACTTTCCGCCCACTAATTCCCTTCCTCCTAGTAGGGGACTTTAACCTACACCACCCCCGCTGGAATTTAATAGCAGACCCAGCTAAAGCTAATAGGGCAGCAGCTCTTATTAGCTGGCTAGACCGCTATAAAACTAGCCTGCTAATAGATATAGGGCTAGCAAGTGAGCAAGGTGGAACCTATTTTAGAGGAAACTTAAAAACTCCCTCTATAATAGACCTAGCCTTCTATAGCCCCTTCTATAGCTTAGAGTGGGCTGACTATCGCTTCCTAGAACATACTGGATCAGACCACAAGGCTATAGCCTTTAAAGCTTACTCCAAGAGCTTAGGAGGTGTTACGACCACGGTCAATTGGTCGCGAGACGCCCGCGTCATCCTACACGTGACGAGAGGGATGGCTCGGAACAATGGTCGGCACGACGGACCAATGATGAACGATGGAGCGTACAGGATCGTAGTGATCCAGGTGATCCAGGAGCGACGGGATCACTACGCTCCATACGATCCCACGGAAAGGATCACGACTCCAACCGTGATCCAAGGACAGGATCACCAGTTGCACAGGGTGATCCACGAAGGACCACTGGGTATATAAGGACACCCAATTCCACTCCTTTAGACTGGATAGCTCGATAGCTTTCAACACACAGATCTTTATCACGATTCCATCTCTGATTCTGATCACCTGGTTACAGTCTACGGTCTACGACCTCCGACTCATCACCAACGTGACACCTCATTGCTCAGACTACGCCCTGTTGTATCTGCCAACATAAACCCCTCGACAGGTTTATCCCTTGGGAATAACACCAGTCGTCACAGGAGGACCTAGCCCTCCCTTCCTAGCAAGACCTCCCTTATTTAACTATAAGAAAGCTAGGTGGGAAGACTTTAAAAAAGACCTCCAAAGTATAGAAGCTCGCCTCTCTAAGGACCTATCAAAGCTTATAAGCCAAGAGAACCTAGAGGGAATAGTGAAGCTCCTTACACAAACTATTCTTAGGGCAGCTAAGAAAGCTATACCTAAGAAGAAGCTGTATGCAAGGTCTAAGCCGTGGTGGGACGTGAAGCTAACAGAGCTTCGAAAAGAAGTAGCCCTAGCCGGAAAACACTATAAAAAGAACCATACAGATCTTGTCACACATAGGATATCAGCCTCCAACAGTCTGACCCCCTATTCGCACAGTCCGTTTCCACATTTCCCCACAGAAACTTCTAGGAGGCATCATCAACGCATCAGTGGCTTCCAGATGATCCGATCAGATGCTTCCATTCACTACCATTCCTTCCATTCTCATATTCAGGCAGTCTATAAAGATCTCGCCTCTTTCCCACCTTAGATAGCAGAATCAAGAGTCTTCCAGTCCCTGATCTTTATGCCCACTTGCTCATCCTCCGTGCGATAGTTATGAGCCCGGTCTGCCATTGACTGGGTATCTTATTCTCGTTCATTCCGCTGCGCAGAATAGCTTCCACAATGAGCTCAGCTCTAGATCTTGATGGCTCTTCCAAGGGCACCGTGCTCAACGGCCCTTGCGACTGGAAACAATGGATTTCTATCATCAAGAAATTCGCCACGTCCCACAGTCTTTGGGACTTTCTGGACCCTGCCGTCAAGGAGGGTAAGCCGGTTCTTCAGCAGCCAGTTGAACCAACATTCCGACAAATCAACCACGAAGCATCTGATCTCGTGGATCTGACCTCGGAGGAATTTCGCCGTCCCGCATTCTCCACACCCAATACCGCTCGAAGCTTCAAGGGTATAGGGATCAAGTGAAGGCACTCGCCAGCCTTCAACAACACATCGTCAAGACCATCGGCAACTACTACAGCACCATTGCCGAGGAACACGACGTTGCAAAGCAACTTGCCTTGCTTCAGGCTCGTGTGGCCCCAACCGACTGGGCACTCGAGAGGAAGTTGTTCAGCGTTATCGTTCCACCCTTCAGTCGCCAAACAGGACCAAGATCGAAGCTTGGGTCACCCAATGGCAGAAAGTCCTCACTGAGGCAAAGCAATTAGGGCTTCCTGATGTCCAGGACCTTCGCCCTACCCAAGATTTCCTACAGGCTGTTTCGTCCATCAACGCCCCATTCACAGACTATTGGGTCAACAAAATGGAAGACGAGGCCGTATTCGGCAAGCCTGATTGGAAGACCGACTTCCCGGACGGCATTAAGATCAGTGAGATCTTTGAACGAGCTCACCGAATCAAGGCCGCCAACAACAGCAAAGGATCATTCGGAGCTGCCTTCCAAGGCAAGGGAGAGAAATCGGAGAGGAAAGAGGACAAGCCTAAGTGGTCTTCAAGCAAGAACGCTGATGGTGTTCCTATGTGTGTCTGCGGAGAATATCACCGCTTCGTAGATTGCTTCTATCTCATCAAATCAGCTCGGCCTGATGGCTGGACTCCTGATCAGAAGGTTGAGAAGAAGATCAAGAAATCCTCGACTCCAATCCATGGGCAAAGAAGATGACGGAGAAAGCACAAGACTTCAAGAAGAAGGAAATGGAGAAATCGTCCGACTCCTCCGTTAAAGGTACAGCGTTTGCCGGTCTTCTACCAGCTCCTGACAACACACCGCCTCCTCAACACCTCCATCAACCAGTTTCTCGACGGGAAAGGCAGTCTACCCGCTGTATGACTCCTTTATCCTTGATTCCGGATCAGACACACACATTTGCAACAACCGATCCCGTTTTCTTGACTACACCGCCCTTGCAGAGCCAGAAGAGCTCTTTGCAGGCGATAGTCAACTTCAGATCCTTGGCTACGGCACAGTCCGTATGAAGCTTGAAGAAGGAGGACTTTTTCAGCTCAACGAAGTTGCCTTCGTGCCAAAATTCCACACCAACATCGCATCCTCGACCGCTTTCTTGCGAAGGGATACAACTGGAATCCACTATCTGGACGCGTCTCTAAAGACGATCAGATTATATTTCATACGAAACGCCGCTTTCGTCAACCGGTCATCGAGTTCAACCCGATTAAGGAGGACTCTCACGCCTCCAACTTCACATCTTCATCTGCACTCGCGCGGTGAAAACAGCAGATGCTACGCTTTGGCATAAGCGCCTAGGTCACTTGAACGCTCAAGCCCTAGAGCATCTTGTTGAGAACACGACGGGTTCGAAGATCAAAGGCCCAGTTACCATCGATTGCACCGCGTGTTCCTTGGGAAGGGAAAGAAGGTCGTCTCTCGCCGAACCCTCAAAACCGAGCCCCAGACCATTCTGGAGAATCTACGTTGATATCTTCAGTATGAACACCTCATTCAACGGCAAGGAAGCTGTTCTTCTTATCAAAGATGAATTTACAAGCATGATCTTCATCTACCTTCTGAATGACGCGACACAAGGGTCCGTTATGACTGCTTTGAGAAACCACGAGGCAATGGTTCAACGCCAATGGAATCTCAACATTTGCATTATCCACCGTGATAACGATCGTTCTCTTCAGAGTGCGTATGAGAGCTGGATCGAGGAAAGGGATTCAAGATGAACCTTCTGCCCCTTACACTCCCGCTCAAAACGGTTCTGCAGAGCGATCTGGGGGGGTAATATCTGCCCAGGCCAGAACAATGGGAATTGATGCCAATTTACCATCTGATCTTTGGCCAGAAACCTGGAAAGCTGCAGTGTTTTTGCACAACAGATCGCCCATGCAGAACCACAGCTTCCGAACGCCTTTCCAGCTGCTTCATCAGTGGCTGCGAGACAACAACAGAGACATAGGCTACCAGCAAGACCAGCCTGACATCACGTTTCTCAAGGCATACGGCTGCAGAGCCTATCCCTTGACACCCCAGGCCATTCAGAACAGACAGAAGAAGGACCTAAAGACCGACCTCACACAGAAATCGGTTATCTCTTTGGATATGATTCCACGAACATTTTCAGGATCTGGATTCCGTCCACATCAGAAGTCCGAAGGGTCCGAGATGTGACCTTCAATGAAAGCATCTTCTATGACGGAAATGATCAGCCACCAGAACCTATCCCGCAGCGCGTGGAAGTACAGCTTCCAGCCCACATCGAGGACGAGTCGGATTACGAGGAAATCCCACTCAAATCGATGAACCTGAACCTGACCCCGCTGAGCAATCTCCTCAACCTCAGACCAAGGAGACGCCACCACGATTGTGGTACAACCCGAACCATCTGATCATGAGGACTCGGATGATCAGGATGAGTTTCATGACATTCAGCACCCATATCCGACACCGGACCCCGGTCCGAGTGACTCTCAGCCACGGCGCTCAGCCCGCACTCCAAAGCCTCGCAAGCTCAGTGCTTTTTCGACCAACACTAAGGGTCAATTCCACAGCTCTTTCTTTCTCGGCAGAGAAGAAAACTTCACAGACGACACCTTCCTCCCGAACCTACGACGTATAAGGAACTTCGCACCCACAGATTTGGTCCTCAGTTCAGAGAAGGAGCCCACGCCGAGTGGAAAGCACTCCAACAGAGAGGAACCTTCAGAGCGGTCCCCAGAGACCAGGTCACGGGCAAGCTTTGCCACTTACCTGGGTCTTTAAGTATAAGTTCGACAAGCATGGCTTTCTTACAAAGTTCAAAGCCCGTCTTTGTGTTCGAGGAGATCTTCAACAGCTAGGTGACAAGGACACCTATGCAGCAACCCTTGCAGGACGTTCTTTCCGGATTCTCATGGCCATCACCGCCAAATTCGACCTTGAGACCCGACAGCTCGACGCAGTTAATGCCTTCACAAACGCCCTCTTAGAAGACGAGGAGGAGGTCTATGTAGCCTTCCCAGACGGATACTACAGACAGGGATGGGCTCTTCGCCTCATGCGAGCCCTCTATGGCCTCCGACGGTCCCCTCTTCTTTGGCAGAAGGAACTCACTGCTGCATTCAGAGAGCTTGGTCTTACACAGTGTCCCGACGAACCCTGCATCTTCCAGAACGACTGGCTCACTGTTTTCTTCTTCGTTGACGATATTGTTTTCCTCTATCGCAAGGAAAACGAGGACGCAGCTGATGAGATGGTTGCAGCCCTCAAGAGGAAGTACGCGATGACAGACCAAGGGAATTACAATGGTTCCTTGGTATCAGAGTCCTGCGTGACAGACCCAACAGGAAGCTTTGGCTATGCCAAGACTCCTACATTGAAAGGATGGTTCAACGGTTCGACCTTCAACGGCGTGACCACTTCAGAGGAGCCCTTTCCCGTGCAACGAAGTCCAGCCGCACACAGGGCAGGCTTCTCCAGACCAAATTCAGCTATACCAGAGCAAAGTTGGATCACTGACCTACGCCGCAGCTATCACCCGCTCGGACATAGCCAAGCCAGCGTCTAAACTAGCTGAATTCCTCAACAACCCTTCCGAGCATCACTCCAAGCTCGCAGACCATCTGATCGAGTACCTTTACGCCACTAGGTATCTCGCCATCCAGTTTTCAGGAAAACCCTGCCTCGACGAGGATGTTGTTCCTCAGCTCCACGCTCAACATCATAGCGATTTCCAAAGCGCATCCGACGCTGCTTTCGCTGATGATAAAAGACTCGCAAGTCATCCCAGGGTTCAATCCTTACCCTCTTCGGCGGCCCTATTGCTTGGAAAGCCGGTAAACAGGATACAGTCACCACTTCTTTCACAGAAGCTGAATTGCTTGCTCACGCACACGGCAAAAGAGACTATTGCAACCTTCCGTCTCTTTGAGCAGCTCTCTTAAGCTTGATGGAATTCCGACGATCCAATGTGACAACCTTCAAACCATTCGTCTTGTCACACAGGATATTCCACGCCTCCGCACAGCCCTTCGTCACGTTGACATCCACACCTGTTGGGCTAGGCAGGCATTTGAGAAAGGCCTCTATAAGCTCACTTATACGCCTACTTCCCAGATGATTGCAGACGGCCTCACCAAAGCTCTGCCAGGCCAGAAATTTGCTACTTTCGTCAAACAACTCGGTCTCATCGATATCTCTACGTTGCTAGGGATCTAGTTTCTTTCTTCAGTTTGCACTGCCCACTAGCCAGCACAACCTGGGGGGGTATGTCACACATAGGATATCAGCCTCCAACAGTCTGACCCCCTATTCGCACAGTCCGTTTCCACATTTCCCCACAGAAACTTCTAGGAGGCATCATCAACGCATCAGTGGCTTCCAGATGATCCGATCAGATGCTTCCATTCACTACCATTCCCTTCCATTCTCATATTCAGGCAGTCTATAAAGATCTCGCCTCTTTCCCACCTTAGATAGCAGAATCAAGAGTCTTCCAGTCCCTGATCTTTATGCCCACTTGCTCATCCTCCGTGCGATAGATCTTCTAGAAGCGGAATGGAAAGCTATAAGGCGAACCTACTCAAAGGCTATAAAGGTAGCAAAGAAGTCCTTCTGGGAGGAATTCCTAGGAGAGGCTGAAGGAAAGGATATCTTTACAGCCTTTTCCTATACGAAGAATAAGCTTAGCCCTACCCTTCCAAGTATTTCGTATACGAAGGAAGGGGTAGAGGCTAAAGCAACTACCTTTAACGAGAAGTGCGAGGCATTTCTCTCCACACTTTTCCCAGCCCCACCACAGCAACAACAGCAGCAGCAACAGCCTCAAGAATACCTAGAGCGTATAACGTCAGCTCCCAAGACCCCCCTAGACCCCAGAGCCCTTGGAAAGAGCAGCCCCCGGGCTATAAGGGCAGTAAGGCTAAGGGGGCAATATGAGACTGGCCGGACTTAGAGGATATAGAGGTTAAAAAGGCGATCCTAGGATCCTCCGCAAAGAAAGCTCCCGGGCCAGACACGCTTAGTTTCCTCCTACTACAACACGCCTATAGGGCTATACCTACTATTTTTAATAGAGCCTATAAAGCTCTATTTAGTAGCGGGTATCACCCTAAGGTATGGAGGCAAGCTATAGGCATTATCCTCCCTAAAGAGAATAAGCCGGACTACTCTATCCCTAAAGTATATAGGGTTATTGCCTTACTCAATTGTCTAGGCAAGACCTTAGAAAAGCTTTTTGCAACCCGGCTAAGCTACCTAGCTAACACAGCTGGCCTGCTGGGGCTTACGCAACTAGGGGGAAGGAAACAAAGATCTGCGATAGACACAGCCCTCCTCCTTACGCACTACATCCAAAAAGAACAAGCATGTCACGCGCCTAAAGTGCTTGACTCCGGTAGATGGCTGGTTGATTCCAACTACTGGCTGGAGTGACTATTCCAGAGAAAGCACGGGGCTGGGAGGCATCTCGTGGTTATAAAAGTAGGGTAGCATAACCCTTGGAGGAGCTCGTCAGAGATCAACGAATTGAATTATTGGCCCGGTTCTTCACTCTCTGTTTCGTTGTGTGTGTGCGCCTTACAAAGCAGCAAAGAAGAGAGCTACTACTAGCACTCTCTTTCTTGACATAAAGGGGGCCTTTGATCACGTATCGAAGGAGCAGCTAATAAGAGTTCTAGAAAGGCTCCGCCTTCCTACAACTTTTATTAGCTGGGTTAGCTGCTTTGTGTCAGAAAGGAAGCTCCAGCTAGCCTTCGAAGGCCAACTCCAGCCACTAAGAGACATAGCTATAGGGGTCCCACAAGGCTCCCATATTAGCCCTATCCTCTTCCTCCTCTACGTTAGAGATATCCTAGCGGAAAAAGGATACCAGCTGTCCTATATAGACGACTTTAGCGTCTCGATCACATCAGGTTCAGCCAAAAAGAATGTTAAACAGCTAGAGAGAATAGCTGCTAGCCTCTTCAAACAAGCCTTAGACCAAGGGGTCGAATTCGACTTCGGAAAGACCGAACTTATCCACTTCTCTAGGCAAAGACAACCTATAGAGGAGGGGATAAAAATAGGGGATGTCACACACAGGATATCAGCCTCCAACAGGCCGACCCCTACCATCTACACTATGCCAAACACCCACACCAACCATCAACATTATGCACACGTTATAGGCACCTACACTATATGATCAGATGCTTCTAGTATCTCCCAGCCACTCCTTTATATCATCTATAAAGATGTTGCTCTTTTTCCTTCTAGATAGCTAAATCAAGAGTTCTTCCACTTCCTGATCTTCATGCTTGCTGCTGCTCTATACCTCGTGCGATAGGGGACCTACTTTTAAACCAAAACAACTAGACCGATGGCTGGGCATCTGGTTTGACACTAGGCTCCTATTCCGGCAGCATATTGTCGAGAAGAAGGTCCGAACGAGTTGAGGTCTCTAGGTCTCTCTAGGTAATGCAGCTAGAAACCAGGTAAGAAGGGAAGTCTGCAGACTGTTCTTTCTTCTTCCTAGACCACTGAGGGGTCCGGAGGATCTCCTATTCGAACGGGGACCTTTTGAGGAGTCCGGCATAACTATTACTGGCTCGGGGATCTCGAGAGACTGAACTATCTATCTAATAGCTAGAAGAGCTATTTGATCGGGGAGATGGAGCTGATGTTGCTGACGTAGATGACTTACGTGGCCTTCAGTAGGTGGCAAGAAGTGCCCTCTTTCTGATAAGAATGTATACTATACCTGAAAACGGGATATCAACTTGGGAGAAGCTTGGAGGGATACAAAAGGGGCTGTTTGGACGGGAAAAGGGCAACCGGGGGCAGAGCAATCAGCACATGCATTCTCGCATACCATCTGATCATTTGATACTCGACCTTCGAAAAGTCCCTTTATCCACTTCTATGCCCACTTTTGCTCTCATCTTCGCGAGACATATCGAAAAAAAAGTAGCTAGCGCACAAGCTGCGTTTGAGGGCTTAGCTAGGCTAGCCTCCACGCAAAAAGGACTATCCTTTAAGGCAGTAAGGCAGCTATACATAGCTTGCATCACTACTATAGCAGACTATGGGAGCCAGCTATGGTATACGGGAACCAGGCAAACAGGGCTTCTAAAACCATACCAACGCCTACAAAACCAAGCCCTCCCTAGGATCCTAGGTGCCTTTAAGAAGTCACCTTTTAGAGCCCTAGAGCTAGAGGCAGCAATCCCCCCTCCGGAGGTACGGCTTGAAAAGGCCTGCTACTCTTATAGCCTCCGAACCCTCCTATTCCAGCGGGACAACCCTATTAGAGAGGCGTACAGCCTAGCTAGTCGGAACGAGTTAGCAGACAGCGGATCCGACTTAGGAGCCCTAGCCTTTGTCAAGCCAAATACACAGCTCCTTCGCCTTTTACAAAGGCTTAGAAGCAGGGTATTAAAAGGCTACTACAAGCTGGAAAGGCAGAGGGCTAGCTGGGCCCCTCCGTGGCTCCTAGAGCCCAGAGCTACAATTAGTATCTCTAAGGCGCCCAAAGAAAAGGCTAAGCTACAACACCTACAGCTGCTAGCTAGCCTAGAATTCGAGGATCCCTTTGTTTTCTATACAGACGGGCCCCAAGGGACTATAGAAGGCACCATAACAAACGCTTGCTCTTATTGTGAAATAGGCCTAGAAGATAGGCCTAGAGTAGCAGTATATGAGAACCTAGGGCCCTACATCGAAGTAGCAGACGCAGAGTTGTTTGCTATTTTTAGGGCCCTAGAAGCGTCTCTAAAAGGCCCCAACAACAGCTAGGTCCTAGAGAGACGCAAAGGCTAAGCTTTATCTTTGTCGACAGCCAGGCTGCTATCTTAAAGCTAGAAGGCCACTCTGACCTAGCTATAAGGATTAGGGGGCTATTGAAGAGGCTAAGCCTAGCCTTTAATTTGAATATAGCGTGGTGTCCAAGCCACGTTAAAATCCCTGGGAACGAGCTAGCCGACGAGCTAGCAAAGAGCGGGCTAAAGGCCCCGCTAGTAGGGACGCCAACAGTCTCTATTATCTATCTACGAAAACAAGTCCGTATCGCCAGCCTGGATAGCTGGCGAGCCCTATGGAAGGCAGAAGAAGAAAAAGGCCCTAGAGCTAAGGGCCTTGGGAAGCACTACCGACAGGCTAAGCAAAAAGCTCTTCGCTTCTCCTATAAGCCAGATAGGATCCTCGCAAAAGCCACTAGGCCGGTGTTTTCAGCATACAACCAGCTCCTACTAGGGATAGGCTTTCTGAAAGCTTACCTAGCTAGAGCTAGAAAGACAGACGTAGAAGGGTGTAGGTGTGGCTCGTCGAGACATACTGCCTCACACCTTATTCTTAGTTGTAAGAACTACATGAAGGAGAGAACCCAGCTAAGAAAGGCCCTAAGAGGGCAGCCTCTAACCTTTCCTATTCTCTTTACAACTACGGTAGGGAGAGAAGCTCTTTTAGCCTTCCTCGGGAAGACAAAGATAGGAACGGCGAAGTGGTTTGCGAAAGAGTAACCTAAGGACCTCTAGGTCCTTAGGGGTAAACAATAAAGCGTGGGAACAAAAGAACTGACCCTGTTAATTTTTCCTTACCTGTCTCTTTCTTACATACACTACTAGCTATTTAGCTAGTAAAGCTAGCTATTAACTTAGCTAGCTGCAGGGGGCTGGCTCCTGCCGCGCCATAGCTTAGACGGCCACACACGCATAGTGAATTAAAAAAAAAACGTGCCTTCCATGCGGGAAATATGCTTCGTTTGTGAAAGATGTAACCGACCACGTGTCAAAACGTACTATACGCGGTGTCATCCTCCGCTCCGCTGGCTACACTGGCTCAGTCGTGTCTTTGTCCAGACAGTCACCATCTACGACATCTGCACGCGATGCAGGCCAAGGCGGAGGTCAGGCTGTTGCGATTGAACTTACTTCTATTCAATTCTGTCTGACAGCTCTCAACATACATATATACATAGTGGCACGTCCGTGCCACTATCCAGTGACTCACCACTTGTAAGTGCTGCCTAAACATGTCTTGGTCCATGTCTCATATCAAGTCAACACTCCCCTAGAGCTGTCAGACTTCAACTAATACAATGGAAACGCTATTCATAGCGTATGGGTCCAATTCCAATCCTCCTCCTTTTCCTCTCGAAGGCCTCCCTAGGCAGAGGCTTGGTCATCCCATCTGCTAGCATCACCCATCCCAACATACTCTGCTTCTGTCGTAGATCTTGCCACTGATTTCATCTTCTTGCTATACGTCATGACGGCGCCTCCGTAGACCATAAAGACGAACTCCAGGATACTCTTCCGGTCCCTTGGATCAGTAGCGTAGTCGGTGTCAGAGAACGCTTCCCCATCTTGCAGGCCTGCAGAGCCGACGTGCCCTTCGATGTTGTGGTCAATGGAATAATAGTCGATATCGCTGCCTTCGACTCCTTGTGCGTGCTCATTATTTCCGCCATATGTGATACCGTGGTGAATAGTCCTGCCGACATAACCCAATATTCGTAGCAAAGCCTTCCAGTGGTTCCAGCATGCCTCTACCGTGAAAGATGCCATTCTGTTAACTGCGAATATAATGTCGAACCTCGTATTGCATAGCCAAATCAGCTTTCGAGCAATTCCACGTATTTCAACCATTCGTCATGGTTCAGAGGCCGTCCCGGTTCCTCAACGAGCTTCCGTATAGCTCCAGGTTCCATGGGGGTTGCGTGCTTCATTGAGTCGTCGTAGAGAAATTCTGCCACGATTTCCTTCGCAAATTGAGTCCACCATAATAACGGCCAGGGGATCTTCCAATGGCTCGGCGCCTGCGTTCCAGGCGATATCGTATACAGTACCCTGGGCACCGTTAACTAGGCCAGCTGGCTGCCATAGGTTAGTAGTGAGCATTACCCTGGCGCCCTTAGCAACAGGGAACTTGTTAGATAGATTGCCAGCATTGTCGCTTGGTGCCTGCCCCGCGCCCTTGCCCTGATTCTTTGCCTCCACCTGTATTGCCGGGGCGTTGAGGTGCACCATATGCTCGTGGTTGTATTCGTTGACCCGGGCCTTCGTAGAATACACCCGCAAAGCGGCCCTGAAGCTGTCAACCTCGCTCCGCGTTAGCCTGGCCTGTACCCGACTGCTAAGGAGGTTCCAGGACGGTATGGATAACTTGACTTCACGCAGTTCCTGCAACGCCTGACGGAACTGAGCCTGATCCTCACCAGCCTGGCGCTGTACCGTGGTCAGGAAGACGGTGCGGTCAAATAACCGGTAGGCCACCTGCCCTCTTCTTTCCAACGAAGACAGGCTGGTGCTAGTCGAATACAGGGGCTTTTGCCGGACTGGTGGTAACTGGAAGAAATCGCCCACAAGCAAGACGCTCACACCACCAAAGAACTCGAGGCTACGCTGTGGAAAGGCCTGTCGCAGACGGGAATCGATCCGCGCGAGCTGCTCAATCCCCAGCATGCTCTTTTCATCGATAACGAGGTATTTGACGTGCCGTAGGCGGGACTGAAGGGCGGCTGCGTCGGCTGGGGGAAGGTCGGTAAAGGCACCACCTACTGGGAGGCGTAGCAGCGAATGAATGGTGCTGCCCTGTATCTGGTTACTCGCAACACCTGTTGGCGCCACGCGGCAAATAGGGCTAGGATTCGGTAGGGCGGCCGCCTGAAGATGGGAGGAAAGCACCTTGATAAGGAAGGACTTGCCTGTTCCACCACCACCGTCGACATGGAGAAGGAGTTGAGTAGAATTTTGCGCCTGGAAGTGACCCATGAATGTGTCGTACACGAGCCGTTGTTGTGGGTTAAGCTGGTCACGCCAGTGAGGGTCAAGGACCTCCACATCGTTGGCCATAGGGTGGCTAGCGATAAGGTCTTTCCAGTAGCTGTCTCGAAGTTCCGGATAAGTACCGACATGCCGTGTCCAGTCGTAATTGACGTCGATATCGCGGCGGCCAAGTAGGTCAAGATCTTCCTGGGTAAGGGGGTTGTCAGGTAAAAGGGCGGCGAGGCGAATCCAGTCTTCGTCATCAAATTCTTCCTCCACAGGCAGAGCCTCGTATAGATCATCTTGAGGCTGTAGTCGAGCCTCTTTTGGCCGGCCGTAATAGTCATCACCATGACTGTGGTGCTGCCAACAATAGGAGAAGGCCTCGACGTAAGAACTAAAAAGCCGGCCGTCAAATGTGAGGAGCTCATCAACCCGCCGGTGTGGGTGGTTTAATGTTAGCTTTACACGGCAGTAATCTGACCACTGTTGACCTTCTGGATCAGCCTGATAGCGAGGAAAGTAAACCAAGACACGGGGCCTGCCGTTAACGTTGCCTGGCTGCCATCGCTTCCACTTGGAAGGGTCCCTAGAGCGGAAATTCCAGCAGTTAAGGAAGGAGACGTAGGTTAGGTCCTTTAGGTCTTCTGGGCGTCGAGTGTACTTTTCGTAGACGTTGGGGGCCTCGTCAACCTCATCGCCGTTAATGCGGAGGGAGCGGGAATGCCTGTCAGGATTACGGCAGTCAACGTATAGGCAGGTTCGTGAGCCCTCCTGTAACGGCAGGCCGAGGAGCAAGTGGCTAACCTCCTGCTTCGAGTAATCCCGCTCAGCAACTAGCTGATTTAGTAGCTTTGACGTAAAGGAAATCAGGGGGTTGTGGTCCTTGACCCGGGGCATCAGGGCCTTCCCAATTTGGGCAAAAGACTCGCTTTTCTTTTCCGACTTGGAGCAGTACTTGGCCGCGTAATCGATTACCTGCTGTAGGCTCGTGCAGGGCGAGACATCTGTATTGGCTAGCCACGCAACGGTAAGCAAGCGGTTATAGTGATTGATCTGGCCATCGTTCCGCTTGCCCCTGGAGCTCCAGTGCTTAGAATGAGGAACCTTGTCAAGGGAGGCTAGTAGGCGCTGCCCGTGAGGAAATCCAAAGCGGCACTCGACCTGCTTGGTATGCTTATTGAGCTGCATACAGTAGTTGTTGCAGCGGTGGCGTTGCACGCGGTTGACTACCATCGATAGGAACTGAACGGTAAGGGGCTGCTCCAATAGATTGCTGATCAGGGGATTCCCTTCCCAGGAGCCTGTATTCGCTGAGGCTCTGGGTTAACGGCAGATACGTGATATCCCCAGATACGGGCAAATCGCTCCCGGGATCGATTATCGTCAGGATCCAAGTCTGGGTGGCCACTTAACCAATATAGGCCATGGTGGTGACTGGAACCCCTGCCCTGCCACTCGTAGCGACCCCAAAAGTCCGTTAGGTTGAGCTTCTGCTTCAGGACAATAGTCCTAAACAGCGTATAACGCTTATGGAAGTGGTAAGCGGCGATGTGGGCGTTGTCTCGTAGCAATTGCCGGGACAGGGCCATCCGCGCCGCCTCGTGGGCTGCTTGCCACTCGTGGAATCGAGGCATATGACGGTATAGGGATTCCCAGTGGTAATCGGCTGCACTTGCAGTAGCGAAAAGGCCAGGCCTGCCTAGATTATAGGCATATGCTTCCAATTCCTTCCTTTGCTTGTACCAATATGGCCGGGTGCCCCTGATTACAGCGGCTTGGCGCGTAATCGACTGGATCAGGGCCTGAGCCTCTGGCTCGTCAGGCTCAGCCATCGCTTCCTCTAGGTCAGCCCGTGTAAGGGGTTGACGGCGGCTGTCGCGTTGCCTGACGAAGTAGTCACTTCGCTTTCGGACCTGCGCACGTAACAGCGTGTTGAGGGCCACGAAAGGCCACGTCTTATGGCGGGCAAAACGTCCGTCTTGCCATCTCATCGCATGGCCAAGGTAGTCCTGGTACGTGATGCTCCGTAGGCGAGGCTCCACGAAGTCGGCCTTGCCGTCGGGGTAGAGGGTAGGGAATGCGAGCGTTAACAGCGGCTGGGAACGGTTGAATTCGTCGATAGGGTCCTGCGAATGGAAGGCAGTGGCATCTGGTGTCGAGCCTGCGCGCTACGCGGCATGTACTCCAGATCAGCCATACGCTCAGGTCAGTGGAACCGTCAAGAAATCGGGACTGCAGTGCGTTCAATTCGGTATCGGTAACCTGCAAATTCGGGATCGCCGATGCGTCGGCATCGCTAGGATCCTCTTCCACAGCCTCTTCAACGGGGCCTTGGGGGACCTCGCCGTCAGGTATGTCAGCCACTTGGCTGGCAATGGACGCAACTATGCTGCCGTCAAGAGGAAGCCGTTGCAGGCGATTCTGGCTCACGACGATATCGCGATAGCCTGGGTGGTGACACTGTAGGTAATGCAGCCAGGCCAGCAGGCATGAGCGGCGTACCCGGAAATCGCGAGCAAACTGTTGCCAGAAGCGAGGGTCGCCCTCCATAGTAGGAGGCCGCAGGAGGACGATATCCAGCTCTTCAGGTAGGACTGGGAGCTCTTCAAATAGCCTGCCAACATTGCGAAGGAAGTGGACAACGTGACCGCGATATTTATATTGAGCGCCACGTACCTGCAGGACCTTCACGTGTACGTGAACCCTAGCAATGAGCATCTCCTCGACCATCGTTAGATTGGGTAGATTACCGGGGACTTCCCCAAAGTCAAGGTTATTCGCAGCGCTAAAGAAGTAGGGCTCGTTAGGGGCTTTCTTCCTGTCTCGACCAATGCAGCGGCTGCAGATTTTCAAGCTGTTTCGCTTCATATCGAACCAACGCTCATGACAACGAAGGCAACTATGCATCTCATCATCATTCAGGGCAGTATAGAACTCCCGCACAAGGGCCTGATCTTCCTCACTAAGGGCAGGCAAGTTAAGGTCCCCCGTCAAAGGCGGGTCAATACTCTGATCAAACTGTCGCTCTTGAGGCTGTGTGCCTTGACGCGTATAATGGCCGCGGCGATGACCATGTGGCAATAATGAAGGAGTGGTAGGAAGCGATTCCCGTGGTATAGGAGTGCCTTGCACAACAGGAGCTGTAGGGGCAGTGTCTTGAATCGGCGTGCCCAGAACTACTGTTGGCAGGCTAAGGGTAGGAGGGATAGGGGAAGGTCCCTCTACAACGCTTGGGGTAGATGGCCCTAGTGGAGGAGGGCTAGGCCGTCCCAGGAGTGCGGGCGGCAGGCGACGGAATAAACCAGGCGTGGCAGGAGGTTGTAAGCCGTTCACAAACGAAGGCGATGGCACAGTCCGCCTTGGAGGCGTCAGGTTAGCTAGCGAATCCGTCCTCTTCGTGGCTCTGCGTGGCGATAGCCTCAAGGCCATATTCCGCATCGCGGCAACGGCGGCTCGAGATTCGGTTACCCTTTCCTTTTGGCGTGTCCTACAGCTAGTGCACTGTACTGTAAACTTCGTAGGGTCCTTGACGCTTCGAAAGTCGACTTCGGGTAGTCTTGCTTGCAAGTACGGCAGTTGCGAACTGCCTGGGGTATATCGTCCTCCATCTTGCCGTATATTTGTCTGGCAGCCTGGAGGTCTAATACCGTGATAGATCTCGATAGGGAAGCTGTCTGTGAGGTAGCTAGGTTAGGTCTAGACGATTAGGGAAGGGGGAGATAGTACTGCTTGCCCGGAGGAAGGATAATAGGGGAATCCAGAGAGGTAGATCGGCTGCGGGGGTACCGTTAGCAAACTGATGGGTTTGGTAGATTTGATGGAAAAGGGAAGCAGCCGCCATGTCGGTGGCGGAAGGGGCACAGGGTTTATCTAGCCAGAAGCGTGCTTAGAACCCAACTAAGTCAGTGCATTGAAGAAAAGAAGAACTGAAAAACTTCTCGGCGAGTTGGTGTTACGGTATCCACCTCCACATACCTTACGGTATCCACTTCCACATACCGTTACGTATATAGACCGCTTCCTCCTTTTCTTCAGTTCCTCTTCCTCTTCCCTTCTTCCTTAAGAAGTCGATAATTAACTATTCTTCCAAGTCCCTTCTGGTTATCCATATCGGCCTTGATCGTAACATGCAGGACCATTCTGAGCTGATGTATAGGGCGCAGTCGGCTCATCTTGAATTCCTTGACCTTCTACCCAGGCTTCGTAGGCCGTTTGGAGGGCTGGATCGTTATCTCGATGGATAACACAGATGCTAAGATTCCACTGGCGCTTGATCATGGCCTCGTGGTTCTTGAGTGCAGACAAGACTGAAGATTGCGTCGCATTATTGAGAAAATAGATGAATACCATGCACGTGAACTCATCTTTGACAAGAAGAACGGCTCCTTTGCCGTTAAAGGCAGTGTTCATAGAGAAGATATCGATGTAAATTCTCCAGAAGGGTCGTGGTGATTTGTTCTGAGAAGGTCGGCGTGAAACAACCTTCTTTCCCTTTCCAAGGGAACAGGCCTTGCAGTCAATAGTGGCTGGGCCTTTGATCTTTGATCCTGTGGTGTTCTCGACAAGATTCTCTAGGGCTTGAGGGTTCAAGTGGCCTAGACGCTTGTGCCAGAGCGTGGCATCCGCAGTTTGAGTCGGTCGTTGCGACGACGAAGTGAAGTTGGAAGAGTGTGTTTCTTCCTCAATGGGGTTGTACTCGATAACCGGTTGTCGGTATCGGCGAATGGTGTGAAATACTTCCTGATCGTCCTTAGAAACGCAACCAGATGATGGATTCCAGTTGTATCCTGATGCGTTTTTGCGTGTCCCTACGCACACTGGGGCGTTGGGCACGGCACCAAGCATCAAGGACACCGGCTGCCGAACGCACAGCCGTGTGAACAGGCAGCCGTGTGAGACAGGCAGCCGTGTGAAACAGGCAGCCGTGTGAACAGGCATCGGTATGTGGCTGCCTGGTAAACCGGCCGGATCACCTAGATAGTCCGACCTGGCTGCCTCCTACATAAGGATGAGGCAGTCCTAGCTTATTTGGAGAGACAACCATCCCACTTCATCTCATCCATATGCAAAATGCATCATATCCTTTCGCCAGAAAGCGGTCAAGAGATGCGATGTTGGTGTGGAAGTTTGGCACAAAGGCAACGTCATTTAGTTGAAAAAGTCCGTCTTCAAGTCTCATACGAACCATGCCGTAGCCAAGGATTTGAAGTTGGCTATCGCCTGCGAACAGCTCTTCTGGCTCTGCAAGTGCGGTATATTCAAGAAAACGAGACTGGTCGTTACAGATGTGTGTGTCGGAACCAAAATCGAGGATGAAGGAATCCCTGAGTTGGTAGATGGGCTTTCCCACCGAGAAACTCGTTGTAGTGGTAGGGGGAGGTGATGGAGGATTGTGTGGTGACGACTTTGTGTGAAAGCTTGCAAAAGCTGCACCTTTGAGACTCGAGTCCTCGGTCTCTTTCTGCATGCGTTTTTGTGTATCGGCAATAACCTTTCGTACCCAAGGAGTGGAGTCCTGTACATCTCGGATTTTCTTCTCGACTTTCTCATTGGCCTTCCACCCATCAGGTCTGATTAACTCGATAAGGTAGAAGCATTCCGAGAAGCGGTGATATTTGCCACAAACACATAAGGGAACTCCAGCGGAGTTTCTGCTGGATTTCCAGCCGTTTTCTTCTCTCTGATTATTGTCGTGTTTGCTCTTGCTGTCGCTTGCTTCCTTTCCTTGGAAGGAAGCGCCGAATGATCCCTTTTGGTTGTTGGCAGCTTTAATTCGATGAGCTCTCTCAAAGATCTCACTGATCTTAATGCCATCAGGGAACTCGTTTTTCCAAGTAGGCTTGCCGCATGCGGCATCGTCCCCCATCTTGTTAACCCAATAGTCCGTGAAGGGGGCGTTTATGAGTGAGACGGCCTGTAGGAAATCTTGCGTAGGGCGGAGACCTTGAACGTCAGGTAGCCCTAATTGCTTTGCCTCTGTGAGGACTTTTTGCCACTGCGTGATCCAAGCTTCGACCTTGGTTCGTTCAGGCGATTGTAGGGTGGAGCGGTAGCGTTGTAACACTTCTCTCTCGAGAGCCCAGTCGGTTGGTGCTACTCGAGCTTGCAAGAGAGAAAGTTGCTTGGCAACGTCATGTTCTTCGGCAATGGTGCTGTAGTAGTTGCCGATGGTCTTGACAATGTGCTGTTGAAGGCTGGCGAGGGCCTTGACTTGATCCCTGTGCCCTTGCAGCTTGCTGCGGTACTGGGTATGAAGAAACTCGAGAAGGCGAAACTCCTTTAGGGTCAAATCCACAAGTTCAGATGCTTCTGGATTGATCTGGCTGAAGGTCGGTTCAACTGGCTGCTGAAGAACCGGCTTACCTTCCTTGATGGAAGGGTCGAGGTATTCCCACACGTTGTGAGATGATGTCGCGAAGCAGATTTGATGTTCAATTGAACATACCACCTGAACAACAGGTGGCTTGATTTTTCGTGACAGTTATGAGCCCGGGAGGAGGGGTTACCCCTCCTGGAACTTCCCGGTAGCTGCGCACGACCACCTAGGCTAGCGCGCACTCGACGGAGTCGGTGTTCGAGTCCCGCCTGGCTTCCCCGAAGTGTCTGCCTAGTAGGGGCCCAGGAAGAACAGGGGATCCGCTGTGTAAAAAGTCCCAAGATGCGAGTGTCTGTTCAGATGCGAAGATTTCAAGCATAAGGGTCCAGGAATCCCGGGATCGTCCCGGCCTCCCTGAGGGGGTGTGTCGCGAAGCAGATTTGATGTTCAATTGAACATACCACCTGAACAACAGGTGGCTTGATTTTTCGTGACAGATGAAGCGAATTTCTTGATGATGGAAATCCACTGTTTCCAGTCGCAAGGTCCGTTGAGAACGGCACCCTTGGAAGAGCCATCGAGATCTGAAGCTAAGCTCATTGTGGAAACATATTCTGCGCAGTGGAAGTGAACGAGAATAGATACCCAGTCAATGGCAGACCGGGCTCATAACTGTCTCACGGAGGATGAGCAAAGCAAGCACATAGATCAAGGACTGGAGAACTCTTGGTTTCTATCTAATGAGCGGAAGTTCATCTTTCCTATATACACCGATAGAAAAAGCAATGGTGCTGCTGCCGTAGGCAGCAGCCCGACTAGTGGCGTCTGCCTGCTAGGCAGTAGGCAGCACCGTGAACGAGCGTTCAGCTCTTGACAGCCCCGGCTTCCTCTTTGGTCTCGAAGTCGATCAAGCAGTAGTGGTGGTTGCCCGGCTCGGATCTCTTGATTTCGTGCGGTGTGATTCTCTTGCCAATTGCCATCCTAGGCACCAATTGCCACAAGGGCAAGGTATTAGAGTCATTCTATAAGGAGGACCGAGATTGGCGGGGATATTGTGCGGAAGCATAAGGCCGTCGTTGAGGGGAAGAGGTCGCCAATGGTCGTCGCTCGGGGCAAACGTGTCGCTCAGGGCAAACGTGTCGCCTAGGGGAAAACGTGTCGCCTAGGGAAAACGTGTCGTGTCTGCGGGCACAGCTCTACCCCGTAAAGTGGGGACATCTCCGCCGCCTGGACCTGCTCTTTAAATCCGCGCCGCCTCTGCAGCAAGGCCTTCGGGCATTATTGGTCTATAAAAAGATAAAGCAGCAAGGGCGGAATATCGTTTGACAGATAGGACTCAGCCTGCGACAGATGAGCAGCCCGGAGGTTTCGGACTGCGTTTCCAGACTCACACGGACATCCCTAGCCTAGATGTGTCCTGTGTGAAGGTGGTCAATTGATGACAATAGTTTACACTATGTGAAGTTCCAGGCCAAGGTGTTCGGAGCCTATCGCACGGAGGATGAGCAAGTGGGCATAAAGATCAGGGACTGGAAGACTCTTGATTCTGCTATCTAAGGTGGGAAAGAGGCGAGATCTTTATAGACTGCCTGAATATGAGAATGGAAGGGAATGGTAGTGAATGGAAGCATCTGATCAGATCATCTGGAAGCCACTGATGCGTCGATGATGCCTCCTAGAAGTTTCTGTGGGGAAATGTGGAAACGGACTGTGCGAATAGGGGGTCAGACTGTTGGAGGCTGATATCCTATGTGTGACAGAGCCAAAAGAAGATTTACGGATGTAGGAATCCCAACTGCGTCGCATGGCCAACATTCACAGAACACGGTACAGTACAGTACAGTAGCAGAGCAATCGCCCTGCCGGGTTTGAATGCTGTTAGACAAGGCAGCCAGCCACTTGCTCTCTTGCCAAACGCCAAATCTTGACCACTCACCCATTGCGTACCTAAGTCTTCAATATGGCTACACATATTTTCTAGTCCTGTTTTATGCGTTTGACTGTACCATGCCATGCATTGTCCGAATTCATCTTTCTCTTCGATGAATCGACGGAAACATTATCAGGGCCCAGGAGCTCAACCGCTCTTCCCCCATTTTCCTGTTGCCTCTGACCTCGGCTAGTGTCTCGAATGTCCAAAGAAACTGAGTCGATGCTAGGGGATGGCCTTGATGTCCCAACCCAATGCCTGTGACCTCGCAACCTTCTTAGCCAGGACTTTTCTTCCCCTTCGCAATTGTCGGATATCTCTGAGCATTTTTGAGCCATTTCCTGCAGTTCCTCGAAGCTAGTAGTAGTAGTAAACGAGCGATCGTCATGGATCTTCAACACTCGTGGAAACCGTAGAGTATAGTACCGAGCATTTGCGGGCTTGTCGAAGCCAGCTCCCACGAGTTCTACTATAAACGGATGTTGAAATAACGCCTTTGGGCGCAGTCCGCGGTTGGGGTCTAAGACCACGTCAAAATCTGGCGTGGACTCAATAAAGGGTATTTGTGTGAAGTATCCATGTCGGTTGAGATATTCCATATGGTCTTTCGGGATGCCATGTCTGTCGATGATGTCGATGATGCGAAGTCGTGGCTTAGAATTATACCGGCAGACCTCATTTTTATTTTCCACGCATCCGATATAAAATGACGTCCACCAGAGCTTCCCAATTCCGGTCTCTTGCTCATCTTCCGCACTGTGGTTTCCGCCGATGATGGTGAAGTCGGCAGAGTCACCGAGGCCTGGAATGTAGTCTTTCTTGAGTTTGATGAATGATTTGTCGCAATCGGAAGTGAAGTAAGGGTCGTTGCAACCTTTCAGCACCAGTCCCTCCCACCGTTGTGTAATGGCTCGCGCGAATACTTCAGTGAGCCGCTCGGCAGCATTAGCTGAGGAGAATGCAACCACTTCGCGGAATCCGACCTCGGCAAGACCTGGGATCCGACGAACCAGAGAGTGAAGTAGTCGTCGCCGTTTATCATGGCTTTCTCGAGCGCAGACCGTGTCGTCCAGTAACAGAAGATCGTAGAACATGATCATGAGATGTTCATTCACATTGGCGGGCGGGTCTTGGGCCGCACCAAGGAGCCGTCCTGATCGTCTGACGTGTTTACGAATTTTGTGGAAGGGCTCGATTGCCTCTCTGTCGTTGTTCCATACCAGCAGCTCGCCCTCCAATATGCATTGTTTTTTGATCCTGCAGTCTGCCGTGCCAAGTTCGAGGCTGTCTCGTAACGCGCGATGAAGGCCGATGCGGTCGATGGTAGAGTCCCTCCCACTCTTGGAGAATATTTTGATGCATGCTCCGGGTTTGCTTAGATCAACATGAAGTTGACAGTATTCTCCATCGTATTTCCGCTCCACGCTCATTAGTCTGGAGCCAGCTAAGTGACAGCAATGCCTGATGCTCCTTGCTTTCGCATAGGCTGGTCGCTCAATCATGACTCCAACCTGCGGCTGTAGAACTTCCGTCAAAGCTTGCCAGGGGTTTACCACGGCCTGGAGGGGTGTATTCCGGATGTTAGGTCCCCCTAGGATACTTACGGCAACTGGGATTGAATTCTGAAAACGGAGGAGATTGCACAAAAACGGGTGAAACCTGCTCATCGCCAATCTTTCCGGGACACAGGCCGGATTGTAGTTTTTGGATAGCATGCGAACCAGCCATTTAGACTCAGAGCTGTTCAGTCTTCGGAAAAAACTGGAAAGCAGATCACCCGAGCTGCTGGATTGACAATGTTTCCGCTCAGTTTCTGCTTGTAGATCAGCGGACGAGAACGGTGACAAGGCTGCAATCCGATCGAGCACATCGTCAACTTCTTGCAGAGTCACTTTCGGACCCATCCTTGGTTCGCCGTCTGTTATAGCCATCACGCGCTCAACACAGGTTGCGAAGTCTGGGCCGTTCCTTGTTTGCCATCTCTGTAACTCCTTCATTCGGGACGATCCAAGACATTGTGCCCGTTGGATAATCCCTTCGAGCTGTCTTTTTGACAAGCCGAAAACCCGGTCTGGCCTGCGCTCGGGAAAGAGGCATGACAAGAACGCCACGGCTTCTGGTCCTAGACGTGGGATGGCTACATCGTGTTTGTCGAACCAGCCAACAAGACTGCGCACATCGAGGTCCTGGGTCTTCTGAATACTAAATGACCTCGTGTGATTTCTTTCGAGTTCACTGAGGAGTTCACATAAGAGGTGGAATGTAAATGGCATGTTGACTGAAAGATTTGTAGTCGAGAACTGTTCAACCGGAGGATGGCGAATGTATGAACTATGAAGGAATGAGTCTGAGCACAAGTTCTGGGATGAGCAGAGTGGTCGAGTTCCGGTTTATATACACTGTCCTCCTCGCTCCGTTTCTACTGAATCTATCACCCTCGGCGAACTCCGACTAGTAGCATGCGGATGGATTGCTCCGTCTGATGACGACGTCATGAATCTCGTCGCTGCGGCTGACAGCCCTTGCGACATACCGGTAAGCACCCACTCTGCCTTGCCAAGTTATTTGTCATGACTGGATTCGGCATCTCAAGTTCGAAGATTGTGGTGTGACTACCGACCTCGCAACGCAATAGTCATTCAGCGGGATCTTCCATGAACGATGCAGCCTTGGTCGGTTGTATCCACAGTCACGCCTTGTGACGGCGCCGGGAGTGCTCGGTTCCCTAACGGTCTCACCCAACCGTGACCATGAATACTAACTTGGCGATTAGTATCTTGTTCAAGGCTGCAGTCAACATGTCTACGACCGGAGGGGGCAAGATGCCGCATGCCGCCTCTTCATGCATGCATGAGTCGGAACGACACCCCTGGTTTCACCGGTCCAGTCTGGCAAATTTCGTGCCAGCTCCGCGTCGTGGAGCATCACTTGTTGGTCTTGGGTTACGGATGAAGCCAATGAATGGGGAAGGTCGGTGCAGACCCATGCCGTAGCGAGAGTGAGCTGGTTATCCCTGGGATCAGGGCAGGCACTCTTTGGAGGAATGTGGGAGGGGAAGTAGTTTGTGAGCAAGGGGCCAGGGTCCTGCAGCTCTTCCTCCAGGACGAAGAGTGTCAAAAGGAGTGGCTCGGCAATGCCGAAATCTTTCACAGCCCCTTGCTGCGGGAGGCATGACTGGTAATCCCAAGCGGAGAAGCGGGCAGATGACTTGACAAATAGGGAGGCGTTCCCATCCCTCTCGATGGCTCTCTATTCGTACTCAACTCGAATCAGAAGCTAGCTAAACTTCCTCCAGGTATCTATTTGCGCCATGGGATCCCCACTCATGTTCAAGCCATATGCCCTTGTGCTGCAAAGGCCAAAGCACAAGGGCTCCTGTACTCAAGAGATGCCACAGAGCAAGGCCACCATGTTCGTTCGGTATCTAGGTCAGGACTACAACGCTGCGCTTCTGCAAGCTGATGTGGGCCGAATGATTGCATGCCTTTTCTATATAGAGCTACTTTCGGCGCTGGCTTTTTGTTCGTTCCCTAGTGCGTGCGACCTCGGTGTTGTCTTTCCCCTGGCCCGCCGATACTTGCCCTGACCAGGGGTTTGTAAATCAGAACGACACGAGCTGCGTCTTGTAGAGAAAGGCGATGCGCGGGTGTCCGGTGCGGCTGTGCAGGAAAGTGCTGGCCTTCATCCACACCTCGGTGAGGCGGACCTGGTCGAGGGCGACGAGCTTGGTGGTGGCGCCCTTGCGCGAGGGCAGGCGGAAGACGTTCAAGAGGCCCTCCCAGAGGTGCATGGCCATGAACTTGGCCGAGGGGTCGACGAGGCACTTGTTCTGGCTCTGCGAGTGGCGCATGTAGTGCTCAGCCGTGTCCTCTATCGTCTGCTCGACCGTGTCGAGCTGGCTGGTGTCGGGGTTCCAGGCCACGTTGAAGTACTGCAGGCGGTCAGTGGCGATGAAGAGCAGGTCCATGTCGTGGTCCTTGGGCCGCAGCCGCTGGAGCATGGAGATGATGCCGTAGATGAGCTTGGTGTGTAGGCACGTCATGCCGTCGTCGGTGAGGCGCCATATCTCGAGGCGATTGGCCTTGCTGGCGGCCGCGCGTCAGCAGGCGGCGCGCGGCGGACGGGGGGAGGCACCTACGCCAGCACGAGGTCCTCGTGATTGGGGGACAGGAAACGGATGCGCAGTGCATGGCGGATGCTGGTGGGCTTGTGGACGGGGGCGACGTAGGCCATTGCTGGCCGCCGCGTTGCAGGGAGGGCGTCTGGATGGGGGGAGCTCTCGCGGAGAGCTAATGGAGCGCCGTCATGCGCCTCCGCGGCGGCGTCGGGCGAGATTGGTGGTGAGGCGAAGCTGCGCGAGATGGGACCGACCCTGCCCAAGCTCCGTCACCAAGCCCACTGTAAGTCCCGGGGGCTGCCCCGCCGTAGCCGCTGGCCCCGCTGCAATCCAGCTCACCGGGTGGCCAGCTTCAGGTACCCCCAATCACGACGGGCTCAGGGACATCCAGGTCTGGCGTCCAACATCTTGATCTCGGAAAGCGTCGAAATCACGACCGCCAAAATGGCAAATTTCAGGCCGGCAGCGCCAAGACTTTGTCAAAAGACCACGTCAACTGACCCGAGTCGCCCGAGAATCTACACCTGCAGAGGCCGAAGCAGCTCGTGGCCGAGCCGAGCGACGACGAGAAGACGGTGCGGGTGAGCGCCGAGGTGCCCGTCAAGGGCCTCGCTTGAGTGCGACGACGACGACGACGGCGTGGTGTTTCCGCGTTGTCGAGAATGAGCAGCCAGCACGGGTCCGTCTCGATTCGCTCGCGTACGGCCGTCAGCAGCTCCTACCCATCCAGACTACCCGCCAGGCCCAGCCTCTTCGCAATAACCTTGTAGTCCTGCGTAAATGTCGTCTCATTGTCGGTGTGGACCCAGAACACTGAGCAGGCCGGGTCGCGGCTCCGGCGGTAGGCATACTCGAGAGCGATCTGTGTTTTGCTATTTTGGTCGGCAGACTTACCCAGAGCCGCAGAGGCCCGAGAGCCAGGAATCAACTTGAATCTATATTGCAGCATGTTGGCTTCACCGACGATGCGCTCCGCTCAGTAAACAGGCGATGAGATCAGGTTATGGATTCAGCGCGGCGGCTTCAACCGTCCGCAGCTAGGCATCCACTCAAGACCACACCGCCAGTCGTGTGAAGGGAAGCATCGCAGCTACTGACACCGGACACCACGTGAAGGTCTGCTGCTTCGTCCTGCTGCTTTGCGAGGCAGCATCCGGTGTGCTCACCGGAGGCTAGGGTCTAAGCACCAGCAGGGCATGAAAGCTCCTGGCAGGTATAAACCCACGCAGAAGGGCATTAGCTCCGGCAGGGCATGGCAGCTCTCCGCAGGGCATGAGCTCCTGGACTGCGGTAATGGCCGAGGCGCTTATGGGCTCCAGCAAGGTGCAGAGGCACCTCGCAGGACACGAGTTCTGGACAGTCGTGAGAGCCGAAGCGCCTTTAGCTCCATCAAGGTGCAGAGGCACCTCGGGACACGAGCTAATGGACAGCCTTGAGGCCGAAGCGCTTATGGGCTCCAGCAAGGTGCAGAGGCACCTCGCAGGACACGAGTTCTGGACATTCGTGAGAGCCGAAGCGCCTTTAGCTCCATCAAGATGCAAATGCACCTCGGGACACGAGCTAATGGACAGCCATGAGGGCCGAGGAGCATGAGCTCCTCGACAACCCTGAGGAAGAAGAATCAGGAGACGGAGAGGGCGCCGATGCCGATATTAATACCATGCTTCGTGGCCGCCCTATCCGTCGCAGTCGCTTCCTCTCGGCGAGACCATTTATGGCTCTGCCAGAATTCTGACCAGCTCTGTGCCCGCGCATGACTGAGGCGGCGCGAGGCAGAAATAGAAAGCGCAAAAACGGCCCCTCTCCCCCGCCCAACGCCGTCGGCTTTTGCGAGGCGCCCCCATCAATTACCGCGTCCTAGTGAGGCGCTCCGTCCAATTTTTCACGTGGTCGTCCGGTTCGTGACATGCAGATCGCTGATGTGGAGCTTGTACGCATATGCATGTGGCAGGGGCATGCGTCGTCCAATTCTTGACATCATCACTGTAGCAGGGGCATACGTTGTCCAATTCTCGACATGCAGATTACTGTGTCAGGAGCGTGCGTTGTCCCGTTCTTCGCGTGGCCATTGAGCCGCAGCTGATCGTCGGTTTCTTGACGCCGTTTGGTGGCATCTCTCGCTACCGTGTCGTCCGCTCCTGAGGTGCCGATCACTGATGTGGAGCTTGTAAGCGGATGGGGCCCGCTTCGTCCGATTCTTGCCGTGCAGATCACTAAGTTAGTGCGGGGTAAGGTGCTGGCGTGATCCAGACGAGCAGATCACGCATGCGGATGCAAGTCCAAATTGGGCACAGCAACACGTCGTCATGGGGAGCCACTTAGCCGTTTGCGTGCGCATTCGGACTCACAGTAGCCGCAGGACCTTCAAGGCCGTGTCCATTTATCCAGTTGGGGCTATTGCCACCCTGATAGACAAATAAGGTACGCGTTCTAGATTTGTCCAGTTACTGGTGGGGTGAGGTCGATGGAGGGAGGCATATGTGGACGTGGCTTTGACCCTTGTGCCTTTGCGGCCCGTCATACAGTAGAGAATGCAAGTCAGAATGGGTCACAGCAACAAGCCGCCGTAGAGACTGTGGCGAATGAATGCGATGCCTCGCGCGGCCAAATCACGCCAGTTGCGGCCAGTGTCTCCTTGTCCAGTTGGAGAAGCAGCAATGACACTGAAGCAGCCTTCTTTCGTAGTGTGGGCAAAGGATGAGTGAGTTCGCGGGTACTCATATTGTCGACGACCTGCAACTGGGGGTGCGGGAATAGCACCCCATGGCGGCAAGACGTGAACTACTGTGACTCATCCACCAACACCACCAGAAACTCACCCCCGCTGCCAACCCCAGCCCCCAAAACCTCCCTTTTTGGAAGTCATGCTTCAAGGCCACAAATTCCTTGCGCTGCTGCGTCGTCCAGTTCCTGACGATCTCTGACAGCTTTACGTAAAGCCCATGCAAGGCCACTTCTGGCCGCCTGCAGCTGGGGGGAGGGGTGGTAGTAGTAGTAGTACCATGCCCCACCCCCCTTTCGGTAACACCCACCTTTCGGTAGCGCATTAGGAAATATCCCCACCAAAACCCATCAATTTCACTTACACCGATTCCAGCCAGCTTTGAAGATATTCACAAGCCGTCACTTGGAGTAGATAGAGGATTGATTGAATTCTACTTTTCGATGGTTGAATGTTTGTACAGGGGTCTGTGGCCTGTGCGTACCTTGCACGCGAAATTACCATCCAACCCCCTAATCTCCTTCCGCCTCCTGACGATGATTCTTCTCGTTATTCCTCCACCACATGACCAAAATGACCTTAAAGCGGCCTCGGAGTATTTATACGGAGGATATTATGGCTAATGCGATAATTGATGTCACAAAAAACGGCTTGTCGCAGTACCGCGCCGCCCAAAAGTATGACATACCTCAGCAGTCTATTTCCGACAGACTCAAAGGCCAGGTAGCCCTGGCTGATCAGATCCAGCCTCGTCAACTCTTGAGTAAGTCTCAGGAAGCTCGCTTGGTTTCTTGGATCCTCCGCCAAGAGTCTCTCGGCTATGCTCCCTCCCACAGTCAGATCCGCGCATGTGTGGAGGCTCTTATGAAGCAACTGAACAACGACCGGACAGTGGGGCGCAACTGGGTCTCTAAATTCATCAATCGCCATCCGGACATCAAGAACAAGCGTGGGAGACGTCAGGAAGCTAACCGATTTAATGCTTTTACGCCTCGTGCGGTTCACTGGTTCTTCGATATCAGGGAAAAGGAGTATGGATGGATTAAACCAGAAAATACCGTGAATGTTGACGAAGGCGGTATTATGTCTGGCTTTGGTGAGTATTTGGCTTGTCTTTCATTACTTTTACTAACCAGACTCTTTTTGCCAGGTTTGGATAGTCTTGTGGTTGGGAGTGCAGACCCAAAACGGAAGGCCCTTCTGAAAGGGCCACAGTCCCGCAACTGGACCTCATTTATTGAAGCTATCACTGCAGACGGCCGTGTCCTTACCCTGGCATTATCTTTAAGGGCAAAGAACTTCAGAAACAGTGGTTCTTGACGGAATTCGGCAAAATAGCCGACTGGCATTACATAACGTCGCCCAACGGATGGACGGACAACCATATCGCTATTGAGTGGCTTGAGAGGGTCTATTTGCCCCAGACGCGACCAGCCGATGCCTCAGATGCTAGACTGATCATATTAGATGGACATGGAAGTCATGCAACGGTGCGTTTCTTTATCCACCTCTGTAGGAATTACCGTTAACCGGGACCAGGATGCATGGATGGCCACATGCTTTTTGAACAACGTTTATTGCTGTTACCTTCCTGCCCACTGCTCTCATGGCCTCCAGCCGTTAGATAACGGTGTATTCAATGCCTCCAAGGCAGCTTACCGGAAAGAACTTCAGAAATTGACCTGTTTGACCGATTCTGCGCCTGTTCATAAGGTCAATTTTATACGGGCATATGCTAAAGCGCGCGAGGTTGGAATGACGGCAAAGAATATATTGTCCGGCTGGAGGGTCACTGGGAATTGGCCGATCTCACGATCCAAGGCATTGCGGCATCCAGAAATTCACGCGGACATTGTAGAGACGTCTCCAAAGTCCGCGCCATTTTGGGTTCTGATGATACGCCAAGAAACAGCCGCCAGATTCGCGATTTCGGAAAGAACAAGACTCCTGGTACCCGGAGACGATACGCCGTGATAGCTAGAGGCTTTGAAGCCCAAGAACAGACGCTTGCCGAGCACAGCAACAGAATCGCGAAGCTAGAGGAAGAAGTGGCCCGGCTGCAGAGAGGCAAGAAGAGGAGAGCAATTCCTGAACCCGAACAGACGGTTCATGACTCTCAGTGAAGCTTTGGTGGCTGAGGAAGCCATCCCCAAATTAAAAGCCGAGAGATAGCCGTTGTGCTGAATTCTGACACAGAGGAGGAGGCGGTCTCAGAGGTGGAGACAGCTTCAGTGATCGAAGTCAAGGTGGCACCGAAGCCCTTCCAGTCACCACCAGATCCGGGCGAATGGTAAAAAAGCGCCGGTACATATAAGAGCGTCCATTTCTCTACGGAATGATATAATTTTTGTGTTTATAATGTTAAGTTCTGATCATATTTCATGTAGTTCAAATGGTAGACTTTTGGTGGAGAATTTTTCAATTGCGCTACCGAAAGGTGGGTGTTACCGAAAGGGGGGTGGGGCATGGTAGTAGTAGTATTGATTGGGGATAGTTAAATAACCACCTCCTCCCACTAATCTGCCACCCCAAAGTGGGTCAATGTGGCGCACCTTTGAGGTAAAGGTGGCGTAACGCCAAAACCTCCTTGGCACACAAGGCACGCCGCGCAACATCACACAGTCAGCCGTAAGTGAAGCTTTTCGCGATATCTTAACAACGCCTTAATCGGTTGCAACGCCGTTATCACCGCCGCGCCGCCCCGTCACGACCGTGCCACCCACGTCACCGTACCACTTGCCGCTATGGAGTCCATGAGCACTGTGTTCTCTACCACCTACGAGTCCGAGGCCGAGGCTACTCGTGCCTGCAAGACCGTAGGCTGGGAGATCGGCTTTGGCCTTAGGCGCCGGAATGCGAAGCCTTCGGCTCGTGCGCCGACCTCTGTGTTCTGTGACTTTGATACGATGGAGCGGCTTGATGAGGCTAACGCCCTTGCGCTAAGGGAGATGGCGAAGGAATGCCCTTTATAGCCCTTGTAGTTATAGTGCTCTTGAATTGACGATGCGGGTCTAATGACTCCTAGAAAAGTGGCATTTCTATGTTCTATGCATCGCGGCCGGCTTCACTTGCGTTGTGTGCCTTGGGCATTGTGCCTTGGGTCTCGTGTGTGCACTGGGGCCGGCCGGACGTTGTGTGCGGCGATGCGCCACATTGACCCACTTTGGGGTGGCAGATTAGTGGGAGGAGGTGGTTATTTAACTACCCCCTATTGATTACCGTCTGGGACATCCCTATAAGGGCAAAAGACGTGCTAGGCTAGAGAAGACTAGATACATAGAATATCCCGAGTACCTGGACTAAGGACCGTGTGTAGCACCTAACCACTCCATCTAGCAATTCTGAGGCTCTGAGGCCGGTCGGAAATTCGGGCCCTTCCCCGTCAGCGGGTTCCAGGCACGGCAGTGAAGCCGTAATAGTAGTCAGTCTTTGGCCGAGGCCGGGTGACTGAGAAAGCCCACGAAGTCATGGGCCGGCCGCAAGCCCTCGAGGAGGGCCTACGGGGCAGAAAGAAAAGAAAAGAAAAAGGAAGCAGAGAGTGTAGCAATGTTAGTCGGGGATTCGCCCCGATGGCGATTGTCTTCTCCGCAGGAGCGTTCGATCCGGGGCCACTTCGTGGTTATGACAGTCGGCGAAGTCCCCGTGCCTGCTCCTCGTAGCAAGCAGGTGGTGGAGGTGTTGTCGATTGGTGTGCAGCTCCGGGGACACCCGGTGAGGCCTTGAGCTCTAGGCTCTTGTAGCTCCTCAGGGCCCCGCGGCCCACCAGTCCAGAGAGTCGTGGCCGCTGGGCGGCAGAAAGGCCGCAAGGCGGCAAGTTCGGAGCCGCGAGACGGCAGAAGGAGGCAGAGCCGCAAGGCGGCAGAAGGCGAGGCCAGCCAGTAAAGGCGGCAGAGGGTGCGAGGCAGCGCGAGGCGTGCCAGGAAGGGCGAGAAGAAGTCGGGCCGCGAGGCGGCAGAAGAGGTCGGGGCCGCGAGGCGGCAGAACTCGAGGCCAGCCAGTAAAGGCGGCAGAAGAAGGCGATGCCGCGAGGCGGCAGAAGGCGAGGCAGCGCGAGGCATGCCGTTATTCGAGACCAGCTTCCCAAGAGGAGACGAACTCTCCAAAGTCTGCCTTTTGCTTGCTAGAGCCCCGTTAGGGCTAGAGAGGCAGAAGCATGGTCGGGTGACCTGAAAATAATTATCCACTAACAGGCTGCTAACAGCCCGCAGAAGAGAAGAATATTTACAGGGGAGAGTTGGGGGGGAGGGGTGGTAATGACGGCCCCACGGCGGCAAGAAGTGGAACCCGTGCCACGCCCCACTTTATTGGAACTCGCAAGCTCGCACCATGTCACGGCGACACACACTCCCTTGTATTCTTACTTTCTTGGCACCATCTGTTAAGGACTTCGCTGTACACAACACACATCCGCTAACAAGGGCGTTTAACACCACGCTCAGCGCAAGCTGAGGGCGGCGATGGCACCCAACCCCGCGGACCAGGCGCGACTGCCGCCCCAGGAACAAGAGCCGATGACTCCACGAACGCCCCAGGAGCTAGAGAAGCGCTCCTCCGGCAGGCCCCACGCGCGGGTCTTGCCGAATTACTGTTGCCACGACGCGCACAGCAACCCGACGACTCCATTCGGCTCCACGAACAGCGACAATGCCCACACCGACACCGACCAGCTAGACGCTGTAATGGGAGACGCAGCAGACGAAACCGAGACCGACGAGCCGGACGACCTGCCCGAGGCTCAAGGCCCAGCAGTAACGGTTGCCCACGCGGCAGAGAGACTTATCGCCAACCAGATGGAAGCACAACAGGCAAAGCTGGCCGTCTTCCGCGCATTCTGCACCGCCTTCGACAAGACGGCTGCCCAGTTCAACTCGGGCCACGCGCTCAGCTTCGCGAAGGAATTCTCGCGCGGCTTCATTAGCTACTGGGACGACGCGCTCAACGGCGCGCCCACACGCGCCGGTCAGAATGTCAACAGCCGCCACGGCAGAGACGGGACCGCACCGACCTACGCCGCTATGGCCCAGAAGGGGATGGCACAGACAAGGGCCCCCCTGCCGGCACGCCTCGGCCCGAAGCCCTGGAAGGCGCCTCCGGTCCAGCCGCCTAAAGATGACCTGCGTGTCTTCGTGCGGCTCGACGACAAGTCCCCAGCATGGGGCTATCAGGGGCATGCCATCAGAGCTCACGTAGCTAAGACTCTCAACCTAGGGACAGAACGCATGCCACAGATCGCCCGGGTTAAGACTGGATGGGCTATACGGGCCTCAGACCGGGAGGCGAGGGACCTGCTTGTGGAACGGCAGGACGACTGGGCGGCCCGCCTCGGGGCCGTGGCGGTTGAAGGCTTCCAGAAGTGGCACACGTACGCTGTGGCGGACTGCCCCAGGCAGCTCACGGATATCTGGGGGGCCGCCGTGGACTATGACCAAGCTATCAAAGAAGAGATCAAGCTCCAGACAGGTGCCGAACCAATTGATGTGCACATTGCTAAGAGATACTCCGAAAGCTCCGACCAGCCCACTGTGACAATGATTGTGTCCTTTCAGGCGGCGATACAGAGGAGATGGCGGCTCTTCGGCACCAGCCGACTAGCCCGACTGATCGCCAAGACCGCCCGGCCCGCGCAGTGCGACACCTGTTGGGATTATCACCCCGCTACGCCTGCGACCGAAAACAAGCCTGCCGACGATGCGGCGGGAAAGACCATCGCGATAACGACTGCAAGCAGCCGGAGAGGTGCGCGAACTGTTCCGGACCCTTCCCGGCGGACCATAAGGAGTGCCCTGCCAGACCCAGGCGCCCACGGCCAACTCGTGCGGCTCTCCAAGATCGAGAAGTACGCCGTAAGGAAGATCGGCTCTCAGCTATACCGGCAAGCCAATATGGAGCTCGAACGGGCCACGGCGACCGCCTCCCCAACCCTCCCAAGGACCGACCCGTCGCCCTGCATGAGAGCTGCCGAGGCCCGCCTAGGCAAGCAACAGGACCAGCAGCAGCAACAGCAGCAGCAACAGCAGCAGCAATGTCGACCCCAGCGGCTGCCCCCCACTAGCGCGCAGGCGCCAGACTCCACAACGCTCCCTCCACCACAGGAAGACAGATCCGAGTCTCCTATGAAGAGGCGCCGACGAAACGTATCCCTGGACCCCTATGAACAATAGGCCCCTAACACTAACAACTCGCGACAGGAGGACGATCCGAGTTCTCCAGGCCAACGTGGCCAAAATAGGGGCCTATCATAGCATAGCCCTACGACTAGCGGAAGCAGAAGACTACGACGTCGTGCTCATCCAGGAACCGAACGTTTGGATAGAAAAGAAGGCGGAGCCTGCAGGACCCAGACGCACCGCTCCTTCCACGCATTCGCCCCAGAACGCGCCTGGGAACCGGATCAGGCCCGAGAGTGATCTCGTATGTCCGGAACCACCCAGATATACGGGCAGAGCAACTCTGCCCCGCCCCTACGCGTGATATCCTGTGGCTCCGGGTAAACAGCACCCTTATTATCAACTTCTATCGACACGCGAAGACACCCGAGCCACTCGACTACCTCCTCCACCAGCAGGACGTCCCCGAGAGATGCCTCATCGCGGGCGACTTCAACGCCTGTCATTTCTCCTGGCAGCCTGGAGCCCGGAGTGCGAGGAACGGAAGGACATCGCCCAGTGGGCGGCCGACAAGGGCTCGGACTGCTCACCACGCCAGGCGAGGCCACACGCCCGCGGAAATACCATTGATCTAGCCTTTGCCAATATCCCCTCTGCTGACGCGCTTATCGAAGAGCACCTTCATACCGGCTCGGACCATTACACGATCAGCATTAAGCTCCCGGCGGATTCCCCCAAGGACGATAGCTAGACCAAGGGTAAGCTCCGAGGAAGAAATGAAGCGATTCGAGGAACTTGTGCGGGCTGGGGCCACAGCACTACCCCGGCTGGCCGTTGAGCCCAGAGGCCTGGAGAGGCTGGCCGAGGCGCTGTCTCGCCTACTCCAAGAGGCGGCCGACGCAGCGGGCCGACGGCCCAGGAAGAACGCGAGAGGCACCCCATGGTGGAACGATCAGTGCGCCGGTGCAGCGGCCGAACTAAGAGCTATGCGGCGGATCTACCCCACAGGGCACGGCAGAGAGGTCCAGACTGCCCGGCGGGAGCTGCGCCGGGCGGTACGGCGGGCTAAGAGACATTTCTGGCAGACTGTTCTAGAAGGCGCCGAGAGCAACCAGGATATCTATAAGATCATGCGGTGGTCGAGAAACCCGCCCCCTTCCGGGGCCCCGCCTATACAGGTAGGCGACCAGGTCTTCGAGACCCAGACGGAAAAGGCAAACGCGCTCCGAGTCGAGATCCTAGAAAGGCGCGGGGCCGCGGACGACATCCCGGACCCCTGGGCCCCAGAGGTGCTGGCCCCAGGAGGACTCTCGACTGCAGCGTCACGCTCGCGGATGCGGCATGCGCCTGCACCTCTACGGGCAACACCTCCCCGGGGATCGACGGCATCACGGTCCGAATGCTGCGTCGCGTCTGGAACCACATCGGCGAGGCGGTGAGGGGACTATATGAAGGCTGCCTACACCTGGGCTACCACCCCGCTTGTTTCCGCGCAGCAGAGGTCGTAATGATCCCTAAGCCTGGCAAGAGGGACCTGTCTATTCCGAGAGGCTGGAGGCCGATTTCTCTCTAGCTTGCCTCGGCAAGGGACTCGAACGCCTAATAGCCCGGCGCCTGGCCTGGGCTGCGATCACACAACGAGTCATCCACAGCCAGCATGCGGGTGCCCTGCCCAAACGTTCAGCGCTCGACCTAGCGCTAGCATTGCTCCACGACGCGGAGACGGCCCTCACCGAGGGGAAAGTCGCCACGCTAATCACGATGGATATACAGGGCGCCTTTGACACGGTTCTGCGGAACCGGCTCCTCCTACGCCTACGGAACAGGGCTGGCCAACAAACCTGGTCCGGTGGGCAGGTTGCTATGGAGCAGAGATCGGCCAGAATACGGCTCGAGGATATAACGACGCCGACAACCCCTGACGTGCGGGCTGCCACAGGGCTCCCGGCCTCCCGATTCTCTTCCTCCTCTATACAGTGCCCATCTACTCGATAGGGAACCGAACTCGCGCTTCGGCTACGCAGATGACGTGGCCACCCTGATCCGGGCCGGTCCCTACAGGAGACGGCCGCCCGGGCCACGCGCGCCGCGGGTGAGCTCATCCAGTGGGAGCCGATAATGGCGTAGTGTTCGACCCGGGCAAGACAGAAGTCATCCACTTCACGAGACCGAGATACAAAGGGGACCTGCCGTCGGTCTGGCACGGGTCCGTAGAAAAGGAGCCACAGCAGGACCTGCGCTGGCTCGGCGTCTGGTACGACAGAAAGCTCTCATTCCGCACGCATGTGGAGAAGTGGGCCGCGAAGGCGATGACGGCCGCAGGGTTCCTCCAGAACCTCTCAAACACCCGGCGCGGAATCCCTCCCCGGTCGACACGGCATGCGGTCACGGCCTGCGTCCTCCCGATCCTTTTATACGGCGCCCATGTATGGTACCCGGGGGCGCTTCGGCCTGTGTGGGGGACTGCCCGCTTAGTTCCGTCGCGGATCACCTACCTGAAGAATAGGATCCAGCTGACCTTAAACGTCGCGATGCGCGCCATCGCGCCCGTCTGGTGTACCATGCCCATTGTGGCCTCCACCGAGAGACCGGGATCCCCCCTGCCACGCTGCTCCTCGCAGACGCTCAGAGACGCGCCGCGGTCCGTCTACGCTCCCTAGATGAGCGGCACCCCTTGACACCCCGTATGAGCATCCTCCCAACGCCTGGCCGGGAGCTAATGAAGAGGCACGGTATGCGGGCCCCTCGCGCGGCCCAGAAGCAGCACGCCTCGAGACTCCTGCGTCTTCACCAAATGACGGCCCATGCTCCGAGGCCCCGACTTCTCCCCCCAGCACCCCCTCAGCCCGACCCGACAGGGGGCGTAGACAAAACGCAGGCGGCGAGAGACTTCAACTCGTGGCTCCGGTATGCCCTGAAGATACCCTCATCGTCTACACTGACGGCTCGCAGAGCGAAGACGGCGCCTGCGGGTATGGGTACTCAGTGTGGCTAGGCCCCAGCGAAGTGACCTACGGCAGCGGTCGGGTCCTACTCGCTGAGGTCTACGACGCAGAGGTGGAAGGCGCCCTCGAGGGGCTTCGAGCGGCACTCACGTGGTCCCCCAGGACCCCGGACCAGCAGTGCCGGATAGTCGTCTGCCTTGATAACTCTGCGGCTATAAGAGCCATACGAGGCAGCCCATCGATCTCGTCGCAAGCGGCGGCGGAGAAGTTCGCTGAGGCCGCGGCTCGGCACGGAGACGTCAGGACGCGCTGGTGCCCCGGCCATACGGGGATCGCCGGCAACGAGCGGGCCGACCAGCTAGCAAAGGAGGGCTGCCGGGCCTCGGCCCGGACAGGCCGCCGACGTACGCGAACATCAAGAGACAGGCCAAGGCTGCGGCCAGGCGCGACTTCCAGGACTGGTGGGCCGCGGGGGCCCCGAGCAGCTACAAGAGCCTAGGGCTCAAGGCCTCGCTCGGGTGCCCCCCGGAGCTGCACACCAAACGACAGCACCTCCATCACCTGCTCGCTGCGAGGAGCGGGCACGGGGACTTCGCCGACTACCACGAGAGGTTTAACCACGAAGAGGCCCGGATCGAATGCTCCTGCGGGAGGAGAAAATCACCGACACACCCTTCTACTGCCGGAAGGTAGGTACTCGACACCGCCTAAGGCCAGCCCCACGGCGGGCAAGGCTATCAACCAGGCACTAGGAAGGGGATTTGACCGGTTCCTCGGGCTAGTAACGGAGGCAGGATTCTTTGATCGGATTTGCCACCGCCACTAGCTTGAGGCAACCCCCCAACCTAATATGTACAATTCTCTCTTTTCTATGTTTTCTGCCCGTAGGCTCCCCGTGGGCCTACGGCCCAGCTGACTGCGTGGGCTTTCTCAGTCACCCGGCTCTGACCGAAGACTGACTAATATTACGGCTTTACCGCCGTGCCCGGAACCCGCTGACGGGGGAAGGGACCTGAGAATCCGAGCGGCCACAGAGTCCAAGAATTGCTAGATAGGGGAGTAGAAGTAAGGAAGGCGCGACGGGTTTCCGGCGAGCACCCTCATCTTGTACTATACCTAGCCTAGCACGTCTTTTGCCCTTATAGGGATGTCCCAGACGGTAATCAATACTACTACTACTACTACTACATGTCACGGCGAGCGAAAGGGGACTGCAGACAAAGCTAGCAAGATACTCTGTAACGAAAGAATACTAAGATGAAGAGGAAAGAAAACCACATAACTCCTAACGCCGTGACCTCCTCATATCCTCCCTGTCGCTTCGGACCTGGATGACGGGGCTGCCCGTACCTACCGTCGGAGCTGCCCGTGCCCGGAGCTGCCCGTGCCCGCCCGCGGGTTCCGTAGTAGTCCCCAGGTGTGTCACGGTAACCCAGGGGTCCCAGGTAGGGCCCTGACACTACCCCCTCCTTCCGGAGAGCTCGCCCCGAGCTCTGACCAATGCCGTAATGCCAATACCCAGAGACATACCTACTTCGTTACCCGCCGTCGCCTCATTTTTGTGTTGTCTTGCCGTTGAGTCGGGAGGTCGTCATCTGGTGTGTCTAGGGCGATTTGGTCCGTCGCCGCTGCTTGATCCATGCAGCTAAGCGGCCCGGAGGGCCAGGCTTATCGGGGTGGGCGTTGTGGAAGTGTTGTAGGCTAGCGGAGCGTTTTGAAGTTACTCGCTAGATACCAATCTGGGTCCGGGTCCCAACCCTTCCAACTAACCTGGTATTGCAGCTTTCCCTGGCAATCCTGGATGCAAGGACTTGGTCGATCTCCCACTCGGATTCCCCTGTATGACTACCGGCGGGGCGGTTCGTAGGTCTGTCCTGGTACCGGATCCGAGGGCGCTTTAAGTAGTCGGCTAGCGTTAATAACCCGGTGGATTTTCATCGTTGGTGGTAGGTCCAATTCGAAAGCGTTTGGCCCCTTAGCCGATAAGACCCGAAACGGGCCTAGGTAGGGTTGATCCAAGCCGTCCCGTTGACCAGTGTCCCTTTTTCAGGTATACCAGGTCGCCTACCTCCCAGTCGACCTCCCTACGGCGTTTATCCGCCTGCCGCTTGTATTCCGCCTGCTTGGTGAGTAGGGCTTCCCTCGCCCACCGGACCCCCTCGGCGGCCCGGGAGGCGAACTGCTGCGCCGCTGTTCGCCCTAGCTGCTCTCTGGGGGGGGGCCGTCGCTGTGGGTGGCGCCACGGACCAGTCGAACGACATTCGGGGTAAGTATCCCATCTCAAGCTCCGCAGGTGCTAGACCGATGCTCTCGTGTGGGTGGGTTGAGTGTGCGAAATCCAAGCAGGGGAGCATTTCGGACCAGTTATCCTGGTAGTAGTCTAGATAGGGACGGAGCTTTGTCTGTAGGAACTGGTTTATTATCTCGGTCTGACCGTCCGTCTGAGGATGTTCGGCCGTAGATAGCTTCATCTTCGTCCCCACGAGGCGACAAAGTTCGTTCCAAAGCTCGAAATAAACTGCGGCCCGCGATCTGACGTAATGGTCTCCGGTGCGCCGTAGGTCCTCCAGATATGCTCGTAGAAAAGCCAGGCCATATCCTGCGCGGTACAGGTCGTATATGTCGGTAGGGAGAACGTCCTCTTGCTCAACCGACAGACCGTAACGAAGACCGCCGTATACCCCTTCTTGTCTCGTGGCATTGTCTTAAAGTCCATAGAGATGTGCTGCCAGGGCGCTCCGGAATTGGCAGTGGCTGGAGTAGTCCTGCTGGTCGGAGGGGGAGTCTTGGGACCGCTTGCAGTCCGCGCAGTTCGCGCAGTAACGGTCAATAAAACCTCCTATCCCGAGCCAGTAGTACCGTCTCGTTAAGATCTTCCTCATCTTATTCCGGCCGGGATGTGCCTGACTTCGCGGACGGTGCGCCTCGTGACAAAGGGCAGTCCGTAGGTTCGCCTCGTCGGGGACGACTAGTCGTCCATCGTAACAGAGGAGGCCACTCTGGACTTGGAACCGGAGTCTGGTATCTCTGCTTGCTCCCTTTCGGAGCGTAGCGAGGGTGAAGCCCGGTTTGCCTGGAGGATCGCTTCGATAAGCTCGAATCCTTCCAGTAGGCACCCATCTCTAGAGTTTGGGGTCTCGGCTTGTCTTGCGGAACCGGGGGTATATATGGCAATAGTAGGGTCGTCTCCGCCTGCGGCGCCTGCGGCTATAGCAGCCCCTCCCGTCGTGCCCCCTGCAAACTGAGTTGCTGGGATTAGGATCTGCGAGCGGTTCAACTCCTTGAGCGCCTTCTGTAACTGCACGTCCTGGGCCTTGCGGGAAAGAGCGTCGGCGACGACGTTTTGCTTGCCCGGGCGATAGTGGATTTCGAATCCAACCATAGCAAGGGTCTCGATCCATCGAGCTTGCCGTGCGTTTAGCATCCTCTTTGTAGCGAAGTACTGGAGGGCTTGGTGGTCGGTGAAGATCTTGATGACTCCGGGAGCGACTAGGGATACAAGGGCATCCATTCCTTCAGGCACACGATAATAGCCAGGAGCTCCTTATCGTGTATCTCATAGTTACACTCCGCTGCGTTCATCGTTTTCGTAAGGAACGAGACCGGGTGCCATTGTCCATCGTCCGCTAGTTGTGAGAGCACGCCCGCGATAACCCCATCCGACGCGTCAGTCTCTAGCTTCGTCTCGCGGTCCTCTATGAAGTGGACGAGGACTGGCGCGGTAGTTAGAGCTGTCTTTAGGGTCTCGAAGGCCTCAAGGCACCGGTCGTCGAAATCCCACCTACTCTCCCTGTCAAGCGGTTTAGGGTCGGCAGATTCTACCGTAGTTACGGATAAACCGACGGTAGAAGTTGCAGAATCCGAGGAAGGACTGCAGCTCTTTTTTGCATCGTGGGGTCTGCCAGGTCAGGATAGCCGAGACTTTCCTAGGGTCGACGGAGATACCATCCGTACTAATAATAAACCCAAGGAAATCCGTCTTTGTGACACCGAATTCGCATTTCTTGATGTCTACTTGAAGACCCGCTTCCCGAAGTCGCTCTAGAACGAGCCGTACGTGTCGCATATGTTCCTTCTTATCTTCGGAGAACACGAGGATATCATCGAGGTAGGCCGTACAGAAAGAGTCGAGGTAGTCCCAAAGGGTCGTGTTAATAAACCGTTGGAACGTACTAGGCCCGTTGCATAACCCGAAGGGAAGGACCTTGTAGTGGAACTGGCCGTAACGCGTGCGGAAGGCGGTTAGTTCGACTGAATCCGGTTCGAGCCGGATCCGGTGGAACGCCTGCCTAATATCTAGCTTCGTAAATATCTTCGCCTTCGCAATGCGGTCTAGGGTCTCGCTAATAAGAGGATAGGGTACCGATCCTTCTTAGTTAGCTGATTGAGTTCCGGAAATCTACGCAAAAACGCAGCTTGCCATCCTTCTTTTTTGCAAAACAGACAGGGGATCCGAACTGTGCGCTGCTTGGCTCAATGAAGCCCTTCTGGAGACTATCCTGTAAATACTCCTTCATAGTCTCCAGCTGTTTGCGGTTAAGGCTGTACAATGGGTGCGTTCGTAACGCAGCAGGCCCTGTTAGTTCGATCTTATGGTCTACCCTGGGCGGGACGGAGGCATCCTATTGCTGTCCTCGCGGGAGAACACGTCGGCTAGGTCTGCGAGCTCTGGAGGTAGCTTTTCTGCGAGGAAACGGTCGTCCTCGTCCTGTTGGTTATCCTGCTCGCCCCTTTCCCCGAGCGCCTTATCGATCATGTGAAGGTTGAGGAAAGTCACATCTTCGTAGGCATGCCGATGGTCCTTCCTGCGACGGATACCTGCGTGGAATGCTGGTGCCGAAATCATCAGTATATCGAGATCCTGCGCCCTCCGTTGGTACCGTGGCCTGATATCCTTCTGGCAGGGTCTCTCCACTCGATGCCCGCCAGTGCTCGGTTCATCTTCCCAGGTCATCCCCTCGATGAGTAGAGTACCGTGGACGATGTTGCCGTGGGCCGATGGTGCTCGTGGCCCTGTTGGTTCCTGTATCGCGGGAGATCTGGATGATATGGGCCGCGCCGTCTTCTTCCTGGTCCTGTCTTTCTGCTTCTTCCCAAAGGTGGTCTCGCCGCTCTACGTCGGCCTGAACTCGTAGGGAAACTGGCTTCGGTACATAAGACGAGAAGCCTTAAGTGCAATATCCGGGATCCAGTCCCTCTGGGCTTCCAGCTCAGGAGGGAAGATAAGGCGACGACGGCGGCAGTCGAGACGGATATCGAAATGGCTCAAGAACATAAGTCCTACGATCAGGTGGAAATCGTTCCTCGTCCCTAGGTCGGCCTCAAGGATCGGTTGATCGCGGAAAGTCCGCCCCTGGAGCTGGAAGTCTGCTTGGATAGAAGAAGTGATACACTGAGCACGACCATCAATTCCCTTAATATAACGCGGCGCTGTATAGCTGCGTCTAGGAGGTCGAGTCGTTTAGCTGCTGGCTTTGTTAGGCGTGAGTTGCCTAATAGCCACGTTTGTGCTCCGGTATCCACAAGGATGCGTACTGAGATAGCGAGGCCATGTTTGCGAATCGTGCTATTAATCACAAAACTAGGACCGCCAATTAAGTGATCAATTGTCGATAAGTTCAAGTTCTCAGTAAGCTTGCGAATACTTAGGATATAGCCTGTGCGGAGCCTTTGCTCAGGCTATGGCATTTCCCGCTACCTCGGACTCCTCATCTTGATCGTCCTGCGACTCGCTACCTTCGCTGTCCGATCCTTCCAATAACGCTCTCAGTTGGTCGTTTACCGTCCCCACTGCCGCCACAAGTGCGGCCACTCGTGGGGATCCCTTTGTCGGACAGACGGCAGCCTGATGGCCCGGTCTTTTGCAAACGAAACAGTTCCCCTTAAAGGTACCATCAGACGGCAACGTGGTAGTCGGCGGAGTCGAGGGTCGCTGGGCCCGTAACTCGGTTTGGGGAGCGAATCGGACTGCCTTTGACCGAGGGAGGCGGATTATTCCTCGGTCTGGGGTCGGTATCCTAGTCTTCGCAACCTCCTCTCGGTCCTCCTTCAGTCCCTCTAACGCGTCAACCTGAACAAGATACCGGGCAGTCATCCGGTCACGATATTGAGCAAACGTAAGCTCCTCGTACCGCTCGTAGATATCTTGGCTGTTTAGGCGGATCCGACCGGTGAGCTTCTTGTGAAGCTCTGTGATCCGGTCTCGGTCATGGAGTCCTGCTTTTGTCGCAAGGGTTACGAACTTCGCTGCGAAGTCGATAAAGGACTCCCCTTGTTTCATTTTCAGGCTATCCAGCCGCTGCCTCGCCTCCCACTTGTGGCTCTTGTTATCGTAAACTGACCCAAGGAGCTCGAAGATCTGACCCACGGATCTGATCTCCAGGTCGTCCTGTTTCGCGAGGTAGGGCGCTAGGACCTCGTGCGCTTGTCCCTTGATAAGGGTCGCGATCCACGTAATCCTAGCGAATTCGTCGGGAAAGAAGTAGGCGTTTAATTCCATCTTCCGCTCCACTGCTGCCTTCCAGTCAGCGTAACGCGGATTCGATCCATTGTCCAAGGGCTCCGGGTCCTTGATCTTGATTGTATTGTGCCGGGTCCGGGCTGTGGACGTAGTCGACGATGGCGCCTGCGAGGGGGTTCATTCTTCAGACGGGGGAGATGGCGTGAGGTCGTGGGGTGTGTGGTGCTCCTGAGGGGGCCCGGGGGTATCCTGTCGGAGCGCCCCAGAGTCTTTGATGCCTGCATAGCTCGCCTCGATCGCACGGATCTGGTCCGTGTAATCCATAAGATCTTGCTGGCGAGCTCTAGCCTGACGGCCTAGCTCCTTCTGGTTCGCGAGGGCTCGTTCGAGGATCTGACGGGCAACCTTCTCTCGGGTGCTGGACCGTTCGACCGTCCAACGAAGTAACTGTAACGCCGCGTTACGTTCGTTGACTAAGTGTTGCAGTTCCTAGCAAGGCCCTCATGTTTCGCATTCGCGATGACGCTTTTCACCCAGGCCGCGTCTAGGGTCCCGCTCGTGCGGCCTGTCTTTGCTGTAAAGGGGGTAGGGTTCTCCTGCGCGGCAAGGACGGTGTGTGCGAACTGCTGGACGAGGTCCTGGTCGGAATCCGTAAGGAGGAGCTCGTGCAAGTCTGTTGTCAGTTTCTGGGGGACCTGGAAGTCGCGGCCCACTCTAGCCGTCTCTTCTAACGGTCTCTGCATTGTCGTTCGTCCCTCAAGTAGGGGATCAGGTTGTCTCTCGTTCTTCTGACTAGCCATCTGTACTTCGATGCAGTCGTGGTCGTCGGCGGGCCCGTCTAGGCTGGCCGGAGTCTCGCTCGTCGTAGGAGCCATCGTACGCGTACTAGCGGACGGAAGATCAGTTTCTAACTGATATCTTTGGAATCTTCCACGTAGGGTAAGGGTGCCGGGTGTGCGGCGTGACCGGCGGCAATAACCACTTAGCGCAATTGGCAGAGCAATTAACGCAAATGGGTATTGGGGTCGGTAAGGGCGATCTTAGTATTATGTCACGGCGAGCGAAAGGACTGCAGACAAAGCTAGCAAGATACTCTGTAACGAAAGAATACTAAGATGAAGAGGAAAGAAAACCACATAACTCCTAACGCCGTGACCTCCTCATATCCTCCCTGTCGCTTCGGACCTGGATGACGGGGCTGCCCGTACCTACCGTCGGAGCTGCCCGTGCCCGGAGCTGCCCGTGCCCGCCCACGGGTTCCGTAGTAGTCCCCAGGTGTGTCACGGTAACCCAGGGGTCCCAGGTAGGGCCCTGACACACCACCTAAGGTGGTGCTGATCCCTCCCTATCGGCCGGCTATAGTTAATATATAGCCCCCTCCTTTATCTAACTCTACTCCGCTTATACGACACGAGGCGTAAAAGCATTAAATCGGTTAGCTTCCTGACGTCTCCCACGCTTGTTCTTGATGTCCGGATGGCGATTGATGAATTTAGAGACCCAGTTGCGCCCCACTGTCCGCTCGTTGTTCAGTTGCTTCATAAGAGCCTCCACACATGCGCGGATCTGACTGTGGGAGGGAGCATAGCCGAGAGACTCTTGGCGGAGGATCCAAGAAACCAAGCGAGCTTCCTGAGACTTACTCAAGAGTTGACGAGGCTGGATCTGATCAGCCAGGGCTACCTGGCCTTTGAGTCTGTCGGAAATAGACTGCTGAGGTATGTCATACTTTTGGGCGGCGCGGTACTGCGACAAGCCGTTTTTGACATCAATTATCGCATTAGCCATAATATCCTCCGTATAAATACTCCGAGGCCGCTTTAAGGTCATTTTGGTCATGTGGTGGAGGAATAACGAGAAGAATCATCGTCAGGAGGCGGAAGGAGATTAGGGGGTTGGATGGTAATTTCGCGTGCAAGGTACGCACAGGCCACAGACCCTGTACAAACATTCAACCATCGAAAAGTAGAATTCAATCAATCCTCTATCTACTCCAAGTGACGGCTTGTGAATATCTTCAAAGCTGGCTGGAATCGGTGTAAGTGAAATTGATGGGTTTTGGTGGGGATATTTCCTAATGCGCTACCGAAAGGTGGGTGTTACCGAAAGGGGGGTGGGGCATGGTAGTTGTCGCGAAGCAGACTTGATGTTCAATTGATGAACATGTCACCTGAACAACAGGTGGCTTGATTTTTCGTGACAGTTATGAGCCCGGGAGGAGGGGCTAACCCCTCCTGTAACTTCCGGTAACTGCGCACGACCACCTAGGCTAGCGCGCATTCCGACGGAGTCGGTGTTCGAGTCCCGCCTGGCTTCCCCGAAGTGTCTGCCTAGTAGGGGCCCAGGAAGAACAGGGGATCCGCTGTGTAAAAAGTCCCAAGATGCGAGTGTCTGTTTAGATGCGAAGATTTCGAGCATAAGGGTCCAGGAATCCCGGGATCGTCCCGGCCTCCCTGAGGGGGTGTGTCGCGAAGCAGACTTGATGTTCAATTTGAACATGTCACCTGAACAACAGGTGGCTTGATTTTTCGTGACACTACGATATTGGGTCCGTGTTCTCGCGTCCAAGGGTTTTTCGGGTGTCCAAGGATTTTCCGGCCAACTTAGTGCTTCGTGGCCCCTAGGCGCCCCGCGCCCCGCGCAGCCAACGGGTAGGCGTAGGCGGAGCTGGGTTAGCGCGTTGCGGCCAGGATAGTTTCGAAGTTACGACTCTGTTGGCTCGTGGGTATTCGTGCTGTGCACAGGGGTGATGGAGAATACGAATCAAAGGCGCTAAAGAGCTATGCCTGTGACTGTTGTATTGGTAATCTATGAAGAGAAGAAAAAAGAAGAAGAAGAAGGAGGGGAAGGAGGAGAAGAAGGAAGGGAGGAAGGAAGGAAGGGAAGAATGAAGGGAGGCGTGTAACTCCGGTCCGAATGTCTTCCGAGACCCTCCCAAAAAGCCTCCTTCTCGCGTATGGCCAATAGAGCCCATGTCCCCACATAATGAAGTCCTTCGCATCTAGACACTTCTGCAGCCTCAGAAATCTCTGCAGGCTGCCTTTCTGTCTAGCCCGTCGGGGCCCTTAGCTGTATACCCCTTGTGGTCTTTTTTTTTTATTCATTACGCGTATGCAGCCCGTAGGGCTATGACGCGGCGGGCCTGCGGGCCTAAGGCTCGCGGGCTCGCAGTAGCTATCTAGCTAGCTTTTGAAGGAAAAACAGAACGAGTCTCGCGAAGGAGAGAGCAAAAGCGGGCATAAACGTGGATAAAGGGACTTTTCGAAGGTTGAGTATCATATGATCAGATGGTATGCGAGAATGCATGTGTTGATTGCTCTCTCTCTCCCGTTCAAGCAGCCCCTTTTATATCCCTCCAAGCTTCTCCCAAGTTGATATCCCGTTTTCAGGTATAGTATACATTCTATCAGGAAGAGGGCACTTCTTGCCACTTACTGAAGGCCACGTAAGTCATCTACGTCAGCAACATCAGCTCCATCTCCCCGATCGAATAGCTCTTCTAGCTATGAAATCGATAGTTCAGTCTCTCGAGGTCCCCGAGCCAGTAATAGTTATGCCGGACTCCTCAAAGGGTCCCCGTTCGAATAGGAGATCCTCCGGACCCTCAGTGGTCTAGGAAGAAGAAACAACAGTCTGCAGACTTCCCTTCTTACCTGGTTTCAAGCTGTATTACCTAGAGAGACCTAGAGACCTCAACTCGTTCGGACCTTCTTCTCGACACACCCCTTAGCTATGAGCCGTCCCAACGGGTCAAAGCTACAGCCAAAGGTTATAGGTCCTCAACGAGGTTACCGTGTAGTCGTGGCCGGAGACCTCCCTAATATTCCTATGCGGTCAAGGGCCTCTCTCTAACCGTCTTACTAGAATCCGGTCTCGTAGGTCTTCCATCCGGGTCTCAAGCTGAAGCCGGGTTTTTAAGTCAACTATTCCAATCATCTCTTGGAATTTCTGTAGTTTCTGACGAGGAGTGCCTTGGTTAGGCCGTCTGCTTTCATCTGTGCCGTAGGAACCCAACGGACTTGAATTCTTCCTTCTTGAGTCTCTTGGCGTAACCAATGCCGGTGGATATCAACATGCCGTAATCTCGTTGATAGCTTCGCGTTAGTCTCTGCAAGCAGTCGTATCGTTTGACTATTATCACATTCTAGCTGTAGCGGGTCCGGAATCTGAAGGTATAAGGACCGTAGCATCCGGCTAAGGAATATAGCTTCTTTGCTGCTTCTGAAATAGCTAGCAATTCAGCCTCGGTGCTAGAAGTAGTGACTGTTGCTTGTTTCGAAGCTCTCCACGCAATAGATCCGCCAAACAGGGTCATGATATACCCTGAGAGCTCTTTCTGTCGAGGAATTATCGGCAAAGGATGAATCACTAGAGCAAAGGAATATATCGGCTCTCTTATCGATTGATCCTCCTAGGCGAATTCCAAAGGAACGGGTATTATAGAGGTAAAGAATAACCCGGTCTGCTGCCTTCTGGTGTGTTTCGTCGGGGTTCTGGTTGTGTCTAACTAGCCGAGAGACCGCAAAGGCGATATCTGGTCTCGTTGAAATAGCAGCAAAGAGGATAGATCCTACCTTCTGTAGGTACCTATGAATTTCCTGTTCGCTTGCTTGGCTAATAGAAGGAAGTAGCTCTTCTGTTGTCATTGGTGTGTCTGGAAGCTTTGAGGAAAGTCGGTCCGGTCCTAATAGCTTGTGGGCTATTTTCTCGATATAGGCATCTTGCGTTAGCCAAATCGTCTTCTTAGTCCGGTCCCGAAGGATGTGTATGCCTAGGAACCAGCGGGGCTCCCCAAGCAATGTCATTTTATATCGTTCTTGCAGTCCTCGCATAGCCTCCATAGCTATTCCTTGATCTTCTTTCTTATAGGCCCAGACAATATCGTCAACGTAGAAGAAGACAATGACTGCCCCCTTCTTCATCACACAAGGTTCTTGTGGGACCTTTTCGAATCCTAATTCCTCTAGGGATCGGGTAAGGTGCTGTTGCCAAAGTAGAGGGGATCTTCGTAGACCGTATAGGGCTTTCCGGAGTAAAAGAATTCTGCCTGGCTTGCAGAATCCGGGAGGCATCCTCATAAAGACTACCTCTTCCTCGAGTGGACAGTTAACGAAGGCGTTTACTGCATCCATTTGATCAAGTTCGAGGTCGAATTCTGCTGCAATAGCCATGAGTGCCCGGAAAGACATCCCTGCTAGGGTCGTTGCTCGAGTCGGTAGATCCCCCCTTTCCTGCTGGTTGCCGCAGACCACAAGTCGAGCTTTGCACTTCTGAAGGTACCCATGCTTGTCAGTCTTATAGATAAAGACCCATTTGCAGTATAGAACTTGTTTGCCAGCAGCCCTTTCCACGGAACTTCGATAAAGGACCCCATCTCTTCGTGCGAGGCTAGATGGTCCTTTTGGGCTTTAACGAATTCCTCTTTAAAAGGTGCTTTTCTAGCTGCTTGGTGTTTTCTGGTGGGTCTGGTAGGTCCTTCTTGTGTACCTTAGTCTTTGGTTTAAATAGTCTTCCAGCAGTAAAGGCTCCATGCACCCCGTCCTCTATAGGAGTAGGATAAAAGTCATTAAATCTGTCCAAAATCGGCAGTGGTTTGAGTTCCGGGTCTACCCCTATCATCTGATCAGACGATTCCTTGGTAGACAATGTAGAAAGAGGTCTGTTTGACTCGTTGATTGATAAAAAGGAAGCTTGCCAGGAGTTGTCAAACCGCCCCACCCCCTTAGGGGTAGCAACCGGAAGAGAGACCAAGAAGCCTGCCTCAGGATCTTCTTCTGTCAGTGGAGGTGTTATAAGAGAAGCTTCTTCAAGCGCCTTAACCCTCTTATAGTCTTCTTCGTCTGGGTCGGTCTGTTCCTCTTCGTCTTCCTCGTCTGAGTCTTCGTCGAACACGCTCTCAAGCTCCGATTCTTCGTCAAGGATTTCCTGGTTGATTTTCTGGTCCTCCGGTATCTCAACGCGTTGAATAAGATCATTGATGCTAGGAAGCAGCTGCGGCTGCTCGAATTTCCCATCAAAATAGGTAAATTCGTCAAAAATAACATCCCTAGTCGAAATAACCTTTCTTCGTTGCGGAATCCAGATCCGGAAGATATTAGTCGAATTATATCCAACCAGGTATCCTATATGTGACCGTGGATCAAGCTTCTGCCTCTTTTTCTTGCCTAGCTGTGCGTTAGAAGTCATAGCGTAGGCCCTACAGCCGTAGGCCTTGAGCTGGGCATGCTGTTGAGGTTGATCCTTCTTCGTAAAGAGCTCAAGAGGTGTTTTCCAGTCTTCTGACGAATTCGGAGTTGAATTCGTAGTCCTAGGGGCTCGAGGGGTTCGATTCCGTAGATAGCAGGATGCTTCCACGGTCTCTTTCCAAAGGTCGTGAGGAAGGCCTGCTGCGATCCTCATCTTGCGAGCCCTTTCAATAACAATTCCACCGGACCGTTCTGCCCCTCCGTTTTGGGCTTGTGTATTCGAGGCTGATTTTTCTGCTGAAATTCCCTTCTTTCGTAGCCACTTCTTAATCTTATTAGTGAATAGCTCTCCGTCAGACCGTACAATTTTCACCGTGTAGTCAAAACGAAGCTTCATCCAGCTAACGAAATCTCGAAGTGCGGCTAGGTGGTGCTTTGAATGATAGGTCTTAAGGAAGTAGGGGAAAACCATGCCCGAATATGCGTCTGTGATGAACATCACACGGACATAGCCCTCGAAATCAGGGTAAGCTCGGTCCAGTCGATCCAAATCTCTTGGCAGGGCTCTTGACGTTCGTCTCGAATAGGGGTTCTTCGAGAAACCTGTCGTATTGCCCTCCCTTGAGCACAGTGCTGGCATTCGTAGGTTTTGGGCCTCGAATATGCACTCCTTTTCGTAATCCTAGCTTATAAAGAGCTAGGGGTCCCGGGTGACCTAGTCTGGCATGCCAAAGGCTAGCTTCTGCTGTCGCTGTCGGTCTTGGGTCCCGGGAGCCTCTTCTTCTCGGCTTAGAGGCTTGAAAACCCGCTTCTTCAATATCCTCCTTCTGAATAGGCTGGAAATCGAGAACAAACTGGCGATATTTCCGAAATAAAATTGATGCATTTTGCATATGAATGAGATGAAGTGGGATGGTTGTCTCTCCAACTAAGCTATGACTGCTTCATCCTTATGTAGGAGGCAGCCAGGTCGGACTATCTAGGTGATCCGGCCGGTTTACAAGGCAGCCACATACCGATGCCTGCTCACACGGCTGCCTGTTTCACACGGCTGCCTGTTCACACGGCTGCCTGTTCACATGGCTGCGCGTGCGGCAGCCGGTGTCCTTGATGCTTGGTGCCGTGCCCAACGCCCCAGTGTGCGTAGGGACACGCAAAAACGCATCAAAAATACAAATCGGTCTCTTGTCTCGGTAGACTAGCCTTGTGGGCTCTGTGAAGGTATCCCAGTAGATTCCTTCGTCTCGAAGAGCCTGAAAAGATACCAGGCTTGCTGAAAATTTCGGACAATAAGCAACGTTCTTTAATCGTAAAGACCGTAATGACCCGTCTAGGGCCGTGACCGTAACGTTGACTCTGCCGTAACCTTTGATCCGGACTTCTGAATCCCCTGTGACTAGGTATTCGTTTCTTGCTTTTCTAAAAGATCGGAATTTCGATAGGTTATTGCAAATATGTAAAGAAGCTGCTGAGTCTAGCAGAGTCGACTTTCGAAGAGGGTAGTCGTTAGAGGCGGTCGTTTGGCTAGCCTTAAAGACAAAGGCAGGGTTTGCGTGCCCAACGATTCTTCCGACTATCCGACTCTTCGGTAGTTGCTAGCCTCCTTCTCATGACGGATTTTTCCACCTTCTTTCTTAAATCTGGGTCTTTTTCAAGGGCCTTTTGCACCCTTTCTTCTATTCGAGGATTCGAATCACACCATGAGGGGCGTTTATCCTCGAAGAGAGCCCAGCAGTCAGAAAGAACATGACTTATCCGTCCACACGCAGGGCATCGGTTTTTATCGGTTTTATCGGTTTTCTCAGTGTTTTTGGTTGTGTCAGGTTTCTTCCCCTTTCTCTTCTTTTTCGGTCTTTCTTCAGAAGGGTTGTTTTCATCAGTTTCTTTATCAGCTAGAAAGCCGGCACCTCTCTTGATTCCTCCTTTCTGCTGGTGCGGCTGTTGCTCTGCAATTTCTCTGATTTTTCTAGCAACAAGCTGAAAGGTCCAGTGAGTCGAAGAAGGTGGTACTGCTGCCAAAGTAGGCGTGCTTCCTATAGAGTCTGGTCGAAGAGCTTGATAGACCCTATATTGAGCAGTTGCTGCTTCTTCATCGATTCTTCGGCTATCTTCGTAGAAGATAGTAGCGTATCCGTCGCTAAGAGGTCGGATGACGCTAGCTATATCTCGTAGCCACTGGCCTGTTAGTGCCTCAGATAGGAAGTAAAGGTCAGCTTCTTCTATAATCTCTTCCCACTTAGTCAGCCAGTCTAGTATGTTAGTCTTAGTACTAGCATGAAGGTGACTAGAATACTGCTTCCTAATTCGGTCAGTCATAAAGCCGCGTGAAGGAGCAGTCGATGCTTCCAGCTTCTGCAGCCACTGCCGAAGCGTATCCCCCTCTCGAAGGGAGGTAAGTTTAGCAGTGCTGATAGACTCCGTAATAGCTGTACGGGCTGCAGTGATTAGCTTAGTCTCGTAAAGGTATTCCCTACGCCTGCTTTCATAGTCAGCAGTAGCAACAGAATAAGCTCTCTGATTTATGGAGTTAAGGTCGACGTAGTGGGTAGCTTCTTCAGCAAAGTCAGTGAAGCTAGGTCGGTTAGGGGGGCTCCAGAGCATTTGATCCGTCTCGAAAGATCAACTTGTGGATAGTTCTATCCACACGGGCTCTAATCTCCTTAACCCAACGGTCCCAGTCCTGGGGCTCCGTTAGAATCGTTCGCTTCGTCGTAGCCATAGCCGAGGTCTTCGACATCTTCAACTGCCGTAGAGGGGGCCGAAAAGGTGGCGAAGATAAGCCGAGGTGGTGTGAAGCGTGCGGGGAAGAGGGGTTCTTTCTCAAGGTTGCAACTTTGCCACCGGAAGTTACAGAAACAGTTCTGTTTCTCCCGGGCTCATAACTCTCGCGAAGGAGAGAGCAAAAGCGGGCATAAACGTGGATAAAGGGACTTTTCGAAGGTTGAGTATCATATGATCAGATGGTATGCGAGAATGCATGTGTTGATTGCTCTCTCTCTCCCGTTCAAGCAGCCCCTTTTATCCTCAAGCTTCTCCCAAGTTGATATCCCGTTTTCAGGTATAGTATACATTCTATCAGGAAGAGGGCACTTCTTGCCACTTACTGAAGGCCACGTAAGTCATCTACGTCAGCAACATCAGCTCCATCTCCCCGATCGAATAGCTCTTCTAGCTATGAAATCGATAGTTCAGTCTCTCGAGGTCCCCGAGCCAGTAATAGTTATGCCGGACTCCTCAAAGGGTCCCCGTTCGAATAGGAGATCCTCCGGACCCCTCAGTGGTCTAGGAAGAAGAAACAACAGTCTGCAGACTTCCCTTCTTACCTGGTTTCAAGCTGTATTACCTAGAGAGACCTAGAGACCTCAACTCGTTCGGACCTTCTTCTCGACAACGAGAGGCCAGTGTTTTGCTATTTCGGTCAGCAGATGTAGTCTAACCTGGCGGTAGACTTACCCGGAGCCGCCGAGGCCCGAGAGCCAGAAATCAACTTGAATCTATATTGCAGCATGTTGGCTTCACCGACGATGCGCTCCGCTCAGTAAACAGGCGATGAGATCAGGTTATGGATTCAGCGCGGCGGCTTCAACCGTCCGCAGCTAGGCATCCACTCAAGACCACGCCGCGAGTCGTTTGAGGGGAAGCATCGCAGCTACTGACACCGGACACCACGTGAAGGTCTGCTGCTTCGTCCTTCTGCTTTGCGAGGCAGCATCCGGTGTGCTCACCGGAGGCTAGGGTCTAAGCACCAGCAGGGCATGAAAGCTCCTGGCAGGTGTAAACCCACGCAGCAGGGCATTAGCTCCGGCAGGGCATGACAGCTCTCCGCAGGGCATGAGCTCCTGGACTGCGGTAATGGCCGAAGCACTCATGGGCTCTAGCAAGGTGCAGAGGCACCTCGCAGGACACGAGTTCTGGACAGTCGTGAGAGCCGAAGCGCCTTTAGCTCCATCAAGGTGCAGAGGCACCTCGGGACATGAGCTAATGGACAGCCTTGAGGCCGAAGCGCTTATGGGCTCTAGCAAGGTGCAGAGGCACCTCGCAGGACACGAGTTTTGCACAGTCGTGAGAGCCGAAGCGCCTTTAGCTCCATCAAGGTGCAAATGCACCTCGGGATACGAGCTAATGGACAGCCATGAGGGCCGAGGAGCATGAGCTCCTCGACAACCCTGAGGAAGGAGAATCAGGAGACGGAGAGGGCGCCGATGCCGATATTAATACCATGCTTCGTGGCCGCCCCATCCGTCGCAGTCGCTTCCTCTCGGCGAGTCCATTTGTGGCTCTGCCAGAATTCTGACCAACTCTGTGCCCGCGCATGACTGAGGCGGCGCGAGGCAGACATAGAAAGCGCAAAAACGGCCCCTCTCCCCCGCCCAACGCCGTCGGCTTTTTCGAGGCACCCCCATCAATCACCGCGTCCTAGGGAGGCGCTCCGTCCAATTTTTCACGTGGTCGTCCGGTTCGTGACATGCAGATCGCTGATGTGGAGCTTGTACGCATATGCATATGGCAGGGGCATGCGTCGTCCAATTCTTGACATCACTGTGGCAGGGGCATACGTAGTCCAATTCTCGACATTCAGATTACTGTGTCAGGATCGTGCGTTGTCCCGTTCTTCGCGTGGCCATTGAGCCGCAGCTGAACGTCGGTTTCTTGACGCCGTTTGGTGGCATCTCTCGCTACCGTGTCGTCCGCTTCCTGACGTGATGTGGAGCTTGTAAGCGGATGCAGTGACAGGGGCCCACTTCGTCCGATTCTTGCCGTGCAGATCACTAGTGCGGGGTAAAGTAAGGTGCTGGCGCGTCCAAAGGCGTGGCCATGTGATCCAGACGAGCAGATCACGCATGCGGATGCAAGTCCAAATTGGGCACAGCAACACGACGTCATGGGGAGCCACTTAGCCGTTTGCGTGCGCATTCAGGACTCCGACCCCCTAGGCATCCTGTACGCCCGCGCTATCCGTCCTGTACCTAAGTCGAATTGGGTAGGGCGCTAGGATTGGGCGCGACCAAATTTTGGTGGCATTCACCGCTAACACAACGTATCTCACGATCACTCACGCCTATTCTCAATACATCTTCAAGCAAGCTAGAAAGTGAAGCTATTCACACGGATCCTCTAGGTGCCACACCTGCTCGTACGGGTGTAGGTTTCCAATGCCCCGTGGCCGCCCTGGCGAGCGTTGTGGCTGGCCTGCATGTACCATATGATTTGGCTGCAAACTTGGGGGCTGTGAGAATCCCCCAGAGACTGACGGTAGGTTAGCTACGGGCGCCAGTGTGATGCCTCGAGGGCGCCCGTGATGGCCTCGTCGTGAGCCTCCATTTGGTAGCGGCCGCGGCTCGTATTCCTCAAATGCAGAGGGCAGTCGCCTCATACTACTAGCTACAGCCTTAGACCGCCCGAAGGTCTGTGGTTGTGTATATGTACGCGGCTGTATAGGTGTTTGTAAGATCGTGATGTCCGCTTGTGGTGTTGATAGTGGCAGCGGCTCCGGCTGCGGCTGCGGTGTTGACCTCACTTGTGTGCCCGGGACGATGCCAAGGTGACTGCGAATAGCTTCAAGTGTAGCCATGACTGTAGCGAGGTTAGCTGTTGGCGTTGCTGCTGGTGTATTTGTAGCCCGACTACCACGAGCCTGCCTTTGGGGTAGCTGTGATGCCTGTGATGCCTGTGATGCCTGTGATGCCTGTGATGCCTGTGATGCTTGTGGTGGCCGTGATGCTGCTTGCGCTACTTGAGGCTGTGGTTGTGGCATCGTGATAGCTGCATTAGCTAGTATGCGGCGTCGGGGAATCACACGAGGATCACGAATTCGTCGGTATGGGTCCGTCTCTGCCTATTTAATAGCCTATTAGTATAAATGTGAGGCTATCACAAGATTGAACGTACCAAGTCCCGGCTAAGAAGCCAGTGGTTATCCCATAAGGCTAGAGGAAGGGGGGCTGTAGCGATAACGCGGCGGTGGTTGCCTTCGCCTTCAACCTCGAGGAACGAGGCTATCACATGCCTACAAGGCAGACCGTATTGTTGTGTGAAGCTATTCATACAAGCTCCCAGTGGGTGTTCCACTGGCTTTAAGAGGGCAGCCGTGGCGGCTCGTACTTGTGTTCGTACAAGCTCGAGGCTTTTATGTGATGCTTTCTCAATGACTTCATGATAAAGTGGCAGCCGGAACGGGTCAAGGGTGCGGCGGGCTTCTCGCTCGACTGTACGATCGTGATGTGCCTCTGTTGTTGACCGTTAGAGGCACAAAGCGTGATAAAGCTCGAGCAAATTCGACTGGCCATTCCGTATGAAGCTACGAGAGCTTGAGTGAAGGGATTCACAAGGGGAAGTTGTTGTATGACCCCAATTGCGATAGAATCGTACCCAAGGCTGTGCCCATTGCCTCCGTTGGGGAAGATAGGTATTCTCAACGATTTGAAGCAGCCGCTGCTGCTCAGAAAGGTCGGTCTTGATGCCTTCCCATCGCGTGTTAAATTCCTCGTCGTTTGGGGCATACATTAGAGTCTTGAATGCCTTGAGGAAGTCCGAGGGGCTGACTTTGGCGGCACCTTGGCGCCGCCAACGGCCAGGATCGTGGCCTGCCTCAGCTGCTTCCTGTAGAATAGGTCTTTCGTCGCCATCGTCGTTGAAGTCGCCAACCCAGAGTCGTTTAGAGTGCTTCATGATGTTCTTATTGATGTGCCACGTACAGAGCTGTAGTTGTGTTCCCGGGAAGGCAGTTGCGAGGGCTGCGCGTGCGGCTGCATCATAGTCAGTCGACATTGTCCAGCCTATACGATCCTGGCTAGTTCTCCACAACCGCAGACGGGTGCCTTTGGTTGAGTTAACAACCGTCGCCCAACGCCAAGGCGACGCCTGCGGACTGTTTCCGGGCGGCCGTGGCGTGATCAACGGGTAAGACGCACATGTATGATCTCAAGCATATGCCGAGACGCCCCAGCGTGCCTGTCCCTACGATAAGCGCACCCCAGAGCGGCACACGGAGACCCCGCGTCTCCCACCTTCCCTTCCAAGTCATCCTCCGTCTCCTGTACAGCTTCTGTACAACAGTTGCAACTAATAACATTTCGTAGGGTTATAGAACGGCTGCAACAAGACAAAGGGTAGGAAAGCTGCTTCCAGCTATCCCTGGCAGACATGTGTGGTGTGAGTACAGACGTTATCATCGCTCTAGTGTGCAAGGCATCGCACTATAGCTGAAGCGCGCTCCTAATCTTTACGTCGTTTTAGATGGATTCCACTCTTTACGTGGGCTCTGGTATCATCGAGCTTCGGCTTGACACCTTCTCGGGATGGCTGCCCCCGGTTGCTTCTTCCATGGGGGTCTGCGGCGGAGGCGCTTGATGTGCACAATCAGTCGTCGCTATACTCGAAGCTGGGACGGCGCGCATGCACTACTGCTGCTGTCCTCAAGACAACTACAGCTACTTCTGGCTGAAGCTGGGGCTCATCAGGAGCGCACTCTATTCCTGATGCTCACAATAAGCCGAAAATCGTGGCTGCTGTGTGCGCAAGTGCCGCCTTGATCTGGTTCCAACGCACCAGCGTCACGGCGAGCATCATCATTACGCGAGCCATTAACGACCGATCGAGAGCTACACTAGTGAGTTGACGGTACCAAAAGCTACTTGGCCGTTGGCTGAAAGTGGCCGTTTATGAGTCATGCCGGGTTGCACTGGTCGTGCTTTTCTGTGTCTGTTTTGGCTTCTTCGGCAGTGCAGTAGTGACTTAGTACCGCTAGGTTCCCCAAAGGTACTCAATATCCCCACCGCTATCCGTATTGTCTCATTTTGGTCCCCAGCTCTCCGTTGTGTTTGCCTGTGTGGGGACCAATCCTCTCGCTAGTCGCGGCTCTTTGTCGACTCACGTCGACGATTGATAGAACAAAGTCAAGGCGGAAAATTACTGAAAGCCTTAAATCCGGCCTGAACATGACTGTTGATATTCCTTTGGCAAAGCTGTACACCTTCCAGCGGATGGCGAGGACGTTCTCGGGACTGAGCGGGCTGTGCCCTGCCTCAGAGCTCGTCCGGGTAGACGTGCTCGCAGCCGAGCCGCCGGTGGAGGTGCATCGCCGCCGATGCGCCGTCGCGCCCGACCCGCCGCGCGCACTCGGCGCACACCGGCACCGGCGCGCCCTCGGGGAAGCAGCTTCGGCACCCGAACGGCGACCGCCCGCCTCCCTGCGCCGCGCCGTGCCGCGACCAGCCCTCCCACGCCATCTCCCTGAGCTCCACCCTGGCCTGCTTCCGGTAGCATAGCGTGCACGTCGCGGTCGGTAGCGTGCCGGCGTCGTGGAACGCCCGGTAGAACCTCCGCACTGTCCTGACCTCCCTTTCCCGCGGCGGCACCGGCGCGCACCACGCCCGCTCGTCGGCCAGCCTCTCACCCGCCTCGAACTCCTCTTCGAGGCCCCGCAGCACGTCCGCCAGGTCCTCGGCCTGCATCTGCCTTGGCCTTGGCCGCCTCTGGTCGCCGCGACTCCGTTTTGCCTCGGTCTGTCCGCTGGCGGCGTTGCCCTTCCTCTTCTGTCTCTCTCGAGGTAGCGGGCCTCTCGTCATCCCATCTATATCCGATTAGACATCTATATATATATACCTTGGCACCGTTCATAATCCTTACCTGCGCGTTGGCCTTCTATTGCCTCGCCAGGCCCTACAGCCTCAGCCGTGTCCCCTATAGCGCTCTCCATCGTGGCTACTGGCCGAGGCAGGATATCCCGAGGCGCCTGTTGACTTGCCGTGGGGCCTAGGGACGGCCCGGCCATGCTTGACGCGCGGCGGCCATGTCTTGCCTCGATTTCTTTGCCAACCGGGCCGCGCTTTCTCTTCTGTCTCTGTCCAGGGGGCGGCGGGCCCATCGTCGTCTCATCTACATCACGTTAACCACCTCTCTCCGTCGACCGACCCTGGGAGCCTGCTTGGGAACTATACCGGCGCGTTGGCTTTTCATTTCTGCACTGGGCTGTGCGCCCTCGGCCGCGTCCCCCGTGGCACCCTCTGGCCCGCTCCCCGGCCGGGGCTGTATCCTCTGAAGCTGTCTTTGCCGTGCCGCCGGACCTAGGGCCGGGCCTGCCGCGCTCCATGGCTGTGTCGCTAGAGCCTCCCCCGATGTCGGCCGCGGCTGGATATCCCGGAACAGCGGCTGCTGGCTTCTGTCGATCCGCTGCTGCCTTGGCCGCCCCGGCCTCCTTCCTGCCCGGGCCGCGGCGCCTTGGCCGGAGCTTGGCGGCGTGAGGAGGAAGCCACCCTCGCAACCCCTTCCGCGTGGGCGAAAAGCTGCTTCAGTGCAAAATTTTCTTTTGCGCGGCTTGTCTTGTAATCCTGCTCCTGCTCCCGCTCCTGCTGTGCCTCTAGCTCGCGGGGGCCTTGCGAGGGCCCGTCTTGTTCCCGTGGTGGTAATTGTTCTTCAAGTCCGTCAACTCGGGCTCGGGCTCCTTAATCCTGGGCGATCCGGAGCTCATGGGTATCGCGCCCGGCTTGGCCTTGGACGGCTTCTTCCACCTCATGGGCGATCCGGTGCTCATGGATATCGCGCCCGACTTGTCCTTGGACGGCTTCTCCATGTCGGCCTTGCCCTTCTTCTTGCCGCCGCCGCCGAGGAGGTTGCCGAGGGATCCGAGCACGTCGCCGAGGGCGTCGCCGCCGCCGCTCTTCTTCATGTCCTCGTTCGCCTTGGGCATGTCCTCGTCCGGCTCGGTTTGGTCGACCTCTCGCTTGTCATTCTTGATGTTGCCGTCGGCGTCGGTCGTTACGCCCTGCGACTCGCGCCCGGAGTGGCCATTGCCAAAGAAGGAAGCGCCGCGGTCGGCCGCGCCCTTGTCGTTGCTGAAGTCGCCGCCGCTCTGAGACCCGTCGTCGCCGCCGTCCTTGTCGTCGCGCTTGTGCATGTCCCTTTGCGCGCGCTCCAATGTTCATCTGCATAACGGCATGGACGAGCTGCGGCGACGACATGTGCATGAGCTCATTGACTGTCAGGTCGCCGGCGTGGGTCTCGGCGCCATTCTCCACCGGCAGGGCCAGCGCGGTGCTGGCCATGGCAGCCGCGGCGACTGCGTAGAGGTTCAACTTCATGATGGCGGTGTCGCGGGAAATCTTCCAATGAATGAGCCGCTTTGAGCCGAGTGAGTGCAGTTCTCTGGGCGTCGCAATGAAGTGCTGGCTTGATTCATGATGGGGCCATGGCTTCGGATCGGAAACTTATATACCTTGGTCTCGGTCTGTCCGATTTTCCTTGTAAGACGTCTACCCGCCTCCATTGTCTTGCCAATTTGCATGGCATTGGAGCTAACATAACCTCTCCTTGTCCCACTGCGGTCCAGTGACAGGGCTTTAGGAATTTGGACATGGCGACCTCCTCCCATGGTGATGGCTGAATTGTGAGGGTTACGCCGTAGGTGACTTGGCCTAAGTGCGTCGGAGGCCAAAGACCGCAGCTTTTGGCCTAGTAAGACACTTTCAGGTTGAACAGGCTTCTCGAGGAATGTGGCCAGGCTGCGCTACAGTAGTCTGTAACTTGCGATAGCGTGAAGACGCTAAGAAGCCGTCGCCCGGCATGGATCTGCAACGGTCATCTTTTGCTTATGTCGAAAGCTGCGCACCTTTGTTCAACTTCTCATCTACCCGTAGGCTTCCCCTGTGGGGGCCAACTAAGCGCTCGGCGCAAGCCTACGGGTAGCAAGTATTCAGATAACTGCCGGTTGACTACTGGCGATATCAGCCCACGAAGACGGATACGCAACACTGCGTCTAAATCTGTGGAATGCTTCCTGAAATCGCCAACCGGAGCTCATCGGGAAACTCGACTGAGTCTTTTCCAAGCTGATAGAGGGGACTTGTTCAAACCGGTTCCTATGACTCCTAAAGCCTTAGACCAGTTAGCTGTCCCGGACCTGGCGCGCCGCCAACGCAGAAACTATCACAAACTGACTAAGTGTCAAAGCAGCATTCCGGTCTCTTTTTTCGTTTTTGTCCTACTTCATTAGCACTCACTCTATCAGCCAAAGCCACAAGAACGAATCGAGCTGCAGTCAAGTAAATGGCAGGGTCTTCTTGCGGCCACGCCCGGCATGTGAAGAGCCAAGGGACAATTATCTAGCAGCATGTCTCGCAATCTACTATGCAAGATGGCCATCAAGAACAGGAAACCAGCAGCCTCATCATTACTCTCTGGCTTGCCCCGACCTTGCCGAGCTGAACAGGAGCATTGTGTCGCGTGTTGGTGCGCCGTCTCACGCAGGCCGTAGGTTTCCTTTGATCTTGGCCAAGTCCTCTTCCGAGAAACCGAGCCCTTTGGTCACGTAGCCGTCCCATCCGCCGTATTCTCCTTCGAGGCCCTCGAACCTGACCAGAACTCGGGGCGAAGGCTGATGAGATTCCTGAAGCCGGGGGCCCTTGGGTCTGTTGTGCCCGCAGTTGACAGGGCAAAATGGAGCAGCTTCTCGCGGGCTGGCTCGGCGCCGATGCGCGAGAGCATGTAGTCCAGACAAGCAAGGCCTGCAGGCGTTCCCGCGAGGTGCTGCAGGAGACCTGCCACGACACCAGTGCGATCACGCCCCGCTGGGGTGATATGCCGGGTTAGCCCTCTCTTCCCATTCCTGCGGGTGCCGTGACTGGTCAGCTTTTTTTACTGTACCTGTGCAGTGGAAGAGGATCGGATGCGCTGGCCGGCCTCGGATATGCTCCAGTAGAGCTCGGATTGTGGGCTGGTAGCATGAAACAATGGCTAGGTACTGCTCCCTCCAAGCTGGCCTGCCACCGTCGGCGACGAAATCGTCAAGGGTCAGGCTGGGGTATTCGCCCTGGCCATCGAGCCAGGCGTTTTCCACGCCCTCGACAACGGGATCTAGACCGTGCTCGCGCTCCACGCCCTTTTGCAGATCAAAGATGCGGGTGACTTTGGCGGCCAGCCAGGCCAGCGCTTGGGGATCCTTGGCTGCGTAGTCTAGAGTGCCACAACGGTAGAAGCGGCCCTTGGGTAGGCGACTGCCTGGCACCACGCCCGCGTCACGAAGGTTGATGAGAGAACGAGTCGGCACAAAGGGCTATGATCCGAGTACTTTGACGATGAGCTCGGGCTGGATGGGCTCAAGCACATCGGTGGCTGCGAGCTCCTCGAGTTGGGCCAGGAAAGGATCCGCAGTGCCTGGCATTTTGGTGCAAGATGGTTGCTCAGCCTGACAGGGCTACAAAGTTGTCTTGTCTGGACTTGTCGGTACCCGTTGGCGGGGCCCTTCGGGAGCCACTAAGGGGTGTGTCCCCTTAGTGGCTCCCGAAGGGCCCCGCCAACGGGTACAGTAATCGTGCCCGCCCCCACTTTAGTGGGTGAGCCAAAGCGCATCCCAACGAGGGACCTGCGGCCCGTACCCCTCGCAGTTAGGTTGCCAGCGCAAGCTTAGGGGGCAGTTATCCATCCACCACTTTCTACTATCCATCCACCAAGGTGGGGGCGATGAGAGTCCTGGCCGCTCTAATTGGCTATATCCGCGCGATCTACTCTAAGTACTCTATACCTACGAGGCATCACTCCACGTTCGCTCGGGGCAAAACCCCGAGCTGCTCAGTAAATTTAGAGGGCATTTTCTCTGCTTCGGCCTGCGGCGCTTATAAGCAATTGCCAATCCGGCACAGCAGGCTGTTGTGCCGGACTTAGAGGGCTCAATTTGGTAACCCTTGGGTAGGTACTCGGTACTTCCCCTACGCAAATTTGGTGGATGGATAACTACCCCCTTTGTTTGGCAGTGCGAGAAATGCACTCCTACCAGGCGTCCTTGCCTACCCCTTTTTCACAGCCTGGAAAGGAGTCACAATATTATGCGTCGACATCATCGAGGTACTCTCCACTCAGGCCCGTCTGGTTATCTCCCCGATATACTCATGGTTTACAGCTTATTCAAATTGTCGATCCCTTGATTTACGCCTATTTTTGTAGCGCTGTTGTGCCTGACCCCTCCAAGGCGAGAATCATCATTTTTGGACTAATTAGCATTAGTCTTTCACCTTCCCTTTATTGGGGCGACCGTCTGGCAATTCCCGCTATCCGGCGTCGAATACTGGTGCGCTGCTCCAATGGTGTCTCACTTGGTTACCGTTATTATGGTTATGGCGATATGGAGGAAGACACAGTCTTTCCGTCGTTTTGACCGGCACTCTAACCAGCCTCAGCCAGAGCAGCCGACGTCAAACCAGGGATGCCGTGGCTTGGAGCAGTGAGCGGATTGGTGTTCCTAGCATCATCTGTGCTCCTGATATGTTCTGTGACTGGTTGGGTGAGACACCAGTTTGGAGGTCAGTGTGGACTTTGTCTGGCGATTTTAGTTGTGCCAGCAGTACCTCTGGACAGTATGATGAGAGAAACCAGAGGAAACGGGTAGACAGAGAGGTGCAGCTGTCTGTGGTGACAGACCCCGGTACTGAACGGTCGACGGAGCACCTTGTATTATCCTGAGGGCACTGAATCAGACAGACGGTAATTCCATCACTGTACGCCCTCCGTCTACGGCCAATTCCTTATATTTAAGCGTCTCAAGTTTGGGCCACAGGAATATGCTGCATTCAGGTCGTGCAAACGCTCAAAGTAATCCTTCCAAGTTGGATGCGCGACGCAAAGGTGCCTTCCGAAGCATATATGGAAGCCCTGCTTTCCACGTCAATCATGATCTTTTCTTTAGTTCAGTTACACTCTCCTCGACGGAAATACCCACGTTAGTTCACGCAAATGTCCACCAGTCGTCTGAAAGACATATTCTAAAGGACTTCATCGGACTCGCAGAAGAGCTCGCTAAGGACAACCGGCTCGTCTCGCCCTAATATTCACGCTGTAGACAGTGTCCAGACGTCCAAATATGCTTAACTTACCTCCGCAAATGAAGTGTCAATCGAAGTCCAAGTTCTGGGGCGACGAGCTCGCCGTGAACGACTACAGTTCTGATGGCAGTGAAAGCGGCTCGCCAAGCATGAAGTGGGGCTGTTCCGGCGTACGACACCTTAACATAGGGAAGGCAGCGGCAATCACTCATCACGCTTATGGTGGAGAGTAAGAAAGCAACAGTCAACCTCAGACAAGGGATTTAGCGAGGAGCCTCGATTCAATTTTCTGCATGCTCAAATCACATGCGACCCCGGAAAACCCGGGCAGTTCTATCGCCACGAACGACTCGCCGCAGTATGCTCATGACCGAGTTGACCGACTCACTTAGACTTGGACTCGTGTTGGAAAGGCAGCAGGGGGCACTCACACCCGACGCCGTCTTGGATCATCGATACGCCTCACATGATTCGGTGACCCGAGGGCAATTCCCCGACAAGTCTCGCATGAAGGCTAGCGAGGATGCAAATGCCAGCTTGTGGAACCAGCATTTCTTAGACGAGATATTTAAGGACTAGGTTACTACCATTCTAAGGGCTGGTGAAAATATAACAATTCAACACTCCTCCATGGCTGGTTGCTTGCTCCTCCGGATATTGTGAATCCGCTGTCGCTTATGCCCTTGCCCATGGCTTTGCCATCTTCTTTTAGGCGCTCGACATTCTGTACTTACACCCCCGGATATCCCGCCGTGGTCTCTCCGCTCGCATTGCCTGGTGTGTCGTGACGAGTCCGAAGGAGAAGACTGAGAAAGGCTGATAGTAATTCTAACAGGCTTGCAGAGAGGAGGTCAAGTTCCATCTCAACCTGTTTGCCTTGTTCGTTCTCGACTGTACCTCTGGCCTCTACTCGATGGCAAGTATCGGATACAGTGACTCGAAAACGAGCCCAGTAGGAGGACGATTCTCCTTGTCATCGTCGCAAAAGGAAGAGTAACCACTCTCTTCAAGATCGCTAGGTGCAAACAAGGGCTGAATATTTTGTGTAGGTGACACTGCAATCTCGTCTTGCGGATATTTGTCTCGACAGTTTGTGCCGTTGAATTGGCTTTCGGTATCCGAGAATTCTGATGTGGGCGAGGTAGGACAAAGAAGCATATCGAGAGCACGAAGATGACCAGTTTGTCCACAGGCAATCGATTCAGTGGAACTCATATTCCCTGCATAGTCGAGGTAGTGTCAGTCGACATGGCGGGAAGGAGGGCCTCGTTGGCTTTCGGAGAATTGCAAGAAAATGGGAGATACGTAAACCGGGACAAAGGGGTGGTGCCTACCTCCTTTACTTTCTACACGAGTATGAGACGGGCTGCCTTGGCCGGGACGAGAGCGCCAGCGAATCATCCGAGAATCCCAAGGCGCAGCTTTGGCCATCTCATTGCACATATTGTCGGGTGGGATCATGCGCCTTCCTCCACTTCCGGGCTGTGGTCCGTTGTTGCTTCGCTGACGCCTGCCGGCCACCCCTGAGATGGTTTATGCGTCTTTGACCAGGTTCAGCTTCTGCATCAATGCACCGATCGCATCCGCTAATGCTGCAAAATTACGAGTAGCCAACTTCTCCGTAGGCGCAGGGGGGCGAACCGAATCGTGCAGACTAGTCCGCAGCCTCCCCTGCGCCGGGGTTCAGGGAGGGAACGCGAGGCAGGACTTGTCCGTTAATTCCTCTTCCCTCGTCGTTGACCCAATATATGACAATGTACATGTACATGCCTGGGAAGTGTCGGGGGTGGCGAAGCTTGCAGCGGAGGAGCCTCGCGACAAGGGAGGGCTGCCCACGTCGGCATCAACTTCGGGAAGATGACGGCGACCTTCGCGAGACCTACATTTGCATCTAACGAGATAGCAATACTTCACAATGCATGAAAATTAGCCGCAGCTCCAATGGAGCGACTCTAGAGAGCCGTCAGGGACACCCTTAGGGTGGGAAAACGAGACATGGCGATATTTACACGCTCCGCTTGCTAGACGCCACCATAGACTGCTGGTTTGTATGATTACCTGTCCGGCTTTCACGTCGTGTTTCCCAGCTCTGCTACCAACTACGTCTTCCATTCATTCCTTGACTCAACGCTTGACTTCTAGGTCGTGAGTATCTTGCGGCACTTACGGCTTACACGCGCTACTAAGAGCACATGCGAGCTCGTGGTAGCGAATCTAAACGAGACAATGTCACAACCTCGGCGTCCTCTTTTCGACTCCTACGCAAGTGCGAAAGGCTCTCCCGCCCAGCAAAAACCCAACCTACACGCCGAAGCCACGACAGCCGCTCCAAAGCCCGAGCGCCAGGACGATAGTAAGAACGGCTTCGTGATATGTCATGGCGGCAGCGAACATTTACTGACGTGAATGGTATAGGGAATCAGGCAACGCCGCGGGCGAGTCGAACAATGCGACTCAGCACAAGCCCCAGATGGCACAAATCGAAGAGGCCATGAAATCTCAATCCGAGGGCCTCCGTCAGACATCCAGTCGCTTACCCAGCACGCATACGGAGGTCCCTACCGTCGCCTTCCAAACAATTATCTTTGGTATCATGCGGCAACTTTTCAAAGAGATTGAAGAGAATTCGGAGAGAGCACGCGTATTTGCGCAAGAGTGCTCATCAACACTATCACCTCGGGATCTCCAGGCGATTGCACAGTTTCAGGGACAGCTTGGATCCCCAAACACACTCGGGGGAGACCCTCCATACCCTGTGGCCGAGAACATGGAGATTTCTCGTCGGAATGTCCTCTACGAAGACGGCTGTTTTGATCGCGAGGGGACGGAGAACGCATTTGTAAGTTGTCCCAGAAGCAACCCGGATTGGGAACTAACCCGAGCAGCGACGGCTTTTTCAAGCTGTTGAGAAGACAGCTAAGGGAATGGACCTTATAAAACTAAAGAGATATGCGAGTGAAAGCTTGAGAGAAATGGACGAAGATGCCACGGCGAGAACGAGCATGTAATAATATAAACTCGTCTTCTAACACTGGCTACTGCTACCTTGCGCCGTAGCTACATTGCTGTACGCCGTCGCAGTAGAGAACACTACAAAATAGATCATTGAAATTAAAGTTGGAGGTCGCCTGTCTATGACCTCTTTTTGCGGAATTCGCGAGGAATCCTGAACTACCCGTGCCACGCCCCACTTTATTTGGAATTCGCAAGCTCCCACCTCCTAAAGTTGGTGCTCACCACCAGTATCCCCACACCACCGGAATACCCAGAATTTCGACTCCCCGACTTCAGCATCCCTATATCTTAACCAATTCACGATCTCGTCGATAGCCGAAATGGAAGCACG